GAATCGAAATATGGCCTTATTTTGCAGCATGAATTCGAAAAGTAAGTTTATTTTGAATTTTAATAAACTAAACGTTCACCAAAAAACTTTAGTGAGAAAAATCGATCGAAAAAACGAACTACAAACATATTAACGCCAAACATTCGGTAGAATTTATAGAATATTGTAAATATATATATATATATATATATATTACAACTGTTGCAGGGCAACTGATTCTAAATGTTGACAAAGATACTTACCAGTGTTTGGGATTTCAAGGGCAGCCATCCAAATTTCACCAGAAGTCAAAATCAAAATATGTCATTGAAGTCAATTTAAAAGAATTGCCTTCCAAGCCAAAACTTTTTTATAAAATAAAGAGACAATTTTTGAAAAATGAACAAAAATTTGATGTTTTGTTTTCTTGGCAAGCTCCGTGTAAGTTTACCTTGATTGATAGTTGCAAAGATTCACAACTTCAATAGATTCTATTAATTTTTATCATTCATTACAGCTGATGAAATCGAAAGTAGCTCAGTCCAGATGTATTTTAAAAATAAAAGCTTCACATGCACAGAAGAAAAGTTTATCACAAACAGTCAAGTCCTTCATAACACTTGTGTACCATACGTTGATCCTGATCAGCCTGACTCATGTCTGGAAGGTGGTGGGCCAGAAGATTTTTATGAGTGGATGGGAGCCATATCTTGCCAATGGTATTTTAACGTTTTTAATCTACAAAACATTTGCATTGTGTTTTGAGTGCATCTAAAAAGCTACATGGTATTTTATGTAAGAAATCATTCTGATTTATTAAATATCAGGATGAACAAAGAGCTAAATGTTTTCAAACAATGATGGTGATGATTTATTGTATGTTTATTCAAGTTGAAGTCATGGTTAATGGTATTAGAATTTTGCATTAACAAAAGGCCTTGTTTTCATCAGGTTCCAAGTGTTTCATAAACATATTTATTTTGTCCCATCTGAGTGGTTTAGATAACTTGGACACATGGAAGGGTAAAGATGAGTCTATAAAAAGTTAGAGGCAGATGTAGAGGAACTCGTAACTTAGTTGTACACAAAAACCATCCTGGTATAAAGACGTGCAAGACAAAAACTTTATTTAGTGAAAACGTGAAAACTTTATTTAGTAACATGCGTGGTGAACATAAGATCTTGCCGTTAAATGATGTATATACAGATATGAATTGTGGTTTGTTGTTAAGGTATATAAAATATCTTCCTAGATATGTCTAATTATCATTTTTTAAATCCAATCATCAATTCTCCATTTTTTTTTTTCTCAACAACGCTTAATTTCATTGAAGCACATTTGGCGATGTTGACAATTACGAGAATCATATGCTACTCCCCCGAGAGGCATGCACTGTTGCAAAATGTTCTCTGCTAACTCTCAAAGGATTTTTTACTTCACAAATGGTTGAGAGTATTTTTCAACAAATCAGGTCAGAATTCATCTTGTTTGAATCACATAACACTTTATTTCATTATTTAGCATAAATATTTTTCATTTGAGAGGAGTATGGAAGTTGCTGTTATTAATTTACAGTGAGATAATAGTTGAAATTAATTCTATTTTAAACATTAGAGCTTAAAGTAAAAGAGATGGAAAACAAATAATATGTTTTTTCAATTAAGACGTGCTTCAAAATTTTTACATTAAACTCCGAAAATGAAAAATGCAGGTCTATATCTCACAATGGCAACTTGACAAGCGAACAGCAGAAGAATGTGCTTCAGTTGGAACCTCAACATCCCTGGATTTGCATGACGATGCATGGATTTGTGGACGCCCCTGTATGCTGGAATAGAAAGGAGAATGGATTCTACATCAGTGGGGTGAACAATCACTCAGTTATTATATTCTATCGTTCTCCCCATCTCTGGTCATTCTTAACTCAACACCCTCGTAATCTATCAATGTGACGATACTATATCAGATTTGATAATCTGCTGTCGTTGCTTTGTCTACATAATAAAGACCGCCTGGCATCAACAAACAACTCATGTAGATTCTGCTGTTATTTTAGATATTCTAATTTGAAGACTAAAATAATTGTGAAAGCAGCATGTGTACCCGACAAGTGCAGTCTTTTTTTAATCAAAATGTTTGTATTTAAGATTTCATGTACATATTTCATGTTTTGTCATCGCAATTTTAATTTGATTTACGGCTAACAAATAAATTTCTCATTAACTACTAATAATTAAAACACTAACGACGATCCTCAAATCGGTGTCAATGAACAGAAAAACATCAAACATTTATCAATCAACCGGAAATAGATATGAAAGGTCGCCTCACCTGCCGGATGTCTCATCCGGAACTTGCAAATTCAAATGAATTACTTGTTTGAATTTCTGTTAATTTTTTGCAGCTCTGACGCGCGGAACCACATAAAAACCGCTCTTACTTAATTTCATGCTTTCTTTTCTACGAATGCTACACATCACAAACTTCTTATATACACAGGCAAGCACTTCGCAAGACATGCCTAGATCAAGCATTCAGTTAATCAGTGAGCATACCCGCGTACGACAGCGCTTTTTAGGACGCCGACCATCCTACCGAGTCGCCGGTTAATATATTGAACAATTGCAAGTCACGCAGCTAGGTTTTGAGTGATGACAGTGATAGTTCTGCAACTTTCCCATTTCAGGTAAAAATAGCAGCAGCTTAAATGTATGAAAATTTACATGTTGAACCGTTTTTTAAACATTGAACATGTTCTGGATTAGATTTCATATTCGAAACTGTTCTGAACGTTTAGTTATTCAAAATATATAAACGTGAAAACAAGTATATTAAATAAGGATTTTTTATTAAAGTTAATTATATGTTAAAAGTAAATACTTATTTCAAAAATAAATTATGGTCCATAAATTACAACAATAACAAAAGACGATTTAATAATTGACATCAAAGAGTGGAAATACTAAAGAATTGATTGTACAAAGCTACAAATCATTAAAACTATTCGAATATTCCACTTGCATGTCTCAATCAGTGATCCTTTTTTTCTAAGCATGAAGTAACAGACAGTCGAGTAAAGTTACAGCATAAATAGTGTAAAAATAATGTAAACGTAATTCTATTATATTATCAACAAATAAATTTAAAAGTGATAATTAAAATAAAAGCCCAACAAATTTTTATGTAATGTAAAAAAATTCTAGCTAGTGTTGTTTTAAAACAAGAATTCACGATTCATTATTGTGAAAAAATATTTTTTAAAAATATCAAGTTACAAATTTTAATATACAAATAAGATTTGTGATTCTATGACATAAAACAAGTCTGTCATCATAGTCATCGTTACATCATCATTACCATTCTCTTAAGGACTCTTAACATTCTCTTAACAAAACAAAGGGACACAACGAAATAACATAATGAAGTAATTATTATATTACAACTGAATGTAAAGACGTCAGAACAGCCATTGAGACGACGCCAGATTAATGGCATGATTTGAAAAATAGATAATATAAAGTGTGATAATGATGATGCATTCAACGCAGGCTGCCTCTATGCAAAATCCATCGGGTTAAGTTAGTTATTCCATCAACAGACTTTATACATTTAGCGTGAAACATTTCATTAACATGATATACTATGCCTGCTTTGTTACCAATTAGATAATATATCAATGAGGCATTATATTGTTTTGTTCATAAAAAAAAATACCCTCAATACAACTATCAAACGTATAAGTAGTATATAAAATCCAAATTAAAAGCTAAAATCATTTTGAAGGGGACGATGGTAGTTCATCTGTGCTCGTTGTTGTTGCGGTGGTGGTAGCTGTATTTGTCTCATCTATAATATTTGTTGCTAACAGATTATTATTTTCAATGCAAACGGATGCAAAAGCAGCAGCAGTGAGCTGTTGTTGATAACGTTCAATTATTTGTTTAGCTTCTTCAAGCTTCATTGTCAGTGCCTGCACCTGGCTAGTTTTCTCTGACAAGGCACTTTTCAACTGTTGAAGTTCAGCTTCCATTTGTTGTTCCCGAGTGATGTCGGAGCTTCCAATCAAATTGTTCGACTGGTCAACTGATGTTGCCAATAAAGCTGCGTTTAATCCATTTTCAGTTTTATATATAAATTGCTTGTGTTGTTCATCATAATAAATGGCTCCATCTTTCTGAGAATCTGAACCAACAGCTTCTTGCAAGAGATTTCCTGCTGTTGTTTCTGACTGACCATCCAACTTTGCCTGCCAGAACCACGAAGCTTGATCTGCTGCTGATATGTCACCGTCCAATGGCCGATCACTGATGAAAACAATTTATTTTCCAAATTTTAAATGTGGTTAATTTATATTGGAAAATTCAAATATTGTAAGTACGAAGGGTATTTTTACAGTATGAGCAGTGTCTTGAATATGTGCAAACAAAAAAGATGAGTGTTGTAGATGAATATAATAGTGGCTTTACATAACCAAAGCATAAAAAAGTTTTGAGTCCATACAGAATCTTTAAAAGATTAGGACATTGATTGTATAAACAAACTATTTATATTGCAATTATAAGATAATAAAATCAAAAATTACTAAAAACCTCAGATTATTGGCTACTTGAATATTGGGTATGAGCTGTAAAGACTGAGAATGTAATGCTAAAAAATTAACTATGTTATTGCTGTCAATAAAAGTTCCATCACTATTTGTCAGAAGTAATTGTCCTGTTGGTGAAACTCCAGTAGCCGTCAAGCCTGCCTGGGCAAGCACTTGTTGTGCCAGCTGTTGATCAGCAGTTAACGATTCCGTTGCCTGCCTTAACGAATCTTGGTTCATAAGCGGAGTTGAAGTGTTGCTATTAACATTGTTGGTGTTGAGGAGTTGCTGGTTGTTCTGCTTGTTGTTGAGACTCTGCCAGGATGGTTGCTGGCCACTGCCTGTTTGAAGTGTTTTCGAATCTTTGCAGCGTTTCGGTTTTGGGGGCTTGAGGGCATCAGTCTCACTCAGGCCAGTCATTTGCCGATATGCTCTCAATTCATTTTCATACCTTTCCTGAGTTGGTAACAGTTGCAATAATATTTTTTAAAATAATAATGTAAAATAAGCAAAATATCTCCACATAGAAATTCAATTTAAAAAATAAAACACTTAATTTAATAAAATTTGACTGAAGTATCCTTCTTATTGAATATAAGACTTTTCAATAAAATAGATTTAAAAGCTAATACCATTTGTATTTTGCTAGATAATCAAATGATATTTCAATGGATAGATATTTTTATTTTAAGACTTGAGTTCATTTGAGAAAAAGTGGTGTCAAAGGACAGGAAATTTCTGGGCCTGAAACCTGGCCTAGCACAGGAGAGATATGATTGGAGAAGATATGTTAAAGTGCACAATCATGCAAAATAGGCCTACAAGTGCCTATCAACAACTGAATTCTGGGTTAATCAGCGTTCAAGGATGCCCATGTATATATTGTGAAAGATAATATCAAAAAATCGAAAAAAAGAGAAACCTTGTCTTTGATAAAATATTCATTATATTGTTGCTTCTGGCTAGCATCAAGCTCCCTCCAGATTGCTCCCACAATGGCACCAATCTCTGTCACTGAACTCAAATGAGAATTGGCTGCTTTCACTTGAGGCCAAATCTGATTTAATTTAATTAATTTAATTTAAAAAAATAGACATGCTCAACATAAAGATTTAAACAAGTTCAAAAAACATAAACATATAAGGTAGATTTAAATTAGCAAAATTTTTTACAGAATATAATAGACTCTAAAAAATTCTTAAACAAAAAAATAAATATAACTGACATGAGAAGGTTCAAAAGAAGAAAAATTCATAACTAACCGCTTTACTGAACATCATATAAGTGTTTAATGGCTTTTTTGGTAGTTTGGGTTTTTCAGTTTTTTGATTAGGTGTTTGTGGTTGAGTGTTCTGAAAATGAAAAAATATAAGCTAGTTTGATGTTCGTCTGCAACAATAAGAAAAACAAATGATATTATAAGAAAAACTACATGCTAGTTAAAATATTCAGCATAAATTACTTTGTCAAAAAAATATTTTATCAAAAATCTAGAGTAATATTATTTATATATATTCACTGTTTAGAAATTCTCTAAAGAGACAGCATAGGCTTTTTAAAAAAGGGCTTTTTAAATTGCTTCTCGCACAGTGTAGTTAATGATCTCACACATGACTAGGTTGGCTAGGTGCTCCAAAACATTGTGACCAACACTTGAAAATTTCTTCTATCGACTGCCGCTTTTTTTCTGGGAACCACCCCCATCATCAGAAAGTTAACTATACGATCTACAAACCCAACTAAAATAACCTAGAACTGAACTCAATAAACATCTCTAATGTGAAATAGGTATTTTAGATTTGATTTACTGTTCCACTGGCAGCAGCTGCATGTTACAATATAGTACCACCTACCATACCAACACCAGACATGACCTCACAATTTTACCGGCACAAAGTTCAAGCATTAGCACTAACCAGCAAACCGTTACAGTAATCCAAATATGAGGTTGGCACTGCAATCTTTTCTAAAATATTATTTCATTTGTTTCGTAACACTTTGAACAAATTTTTTCTGTCATACTAGACCCCAAACGGACATTCAGTAAACAATTGTAGTGGCTGTGTAAAATTTCTTTTTCCCATATTTACTTTCCTTTCCTTCCATAGTTACAGCAAGCATAAAAAGATGAGATAAATTAGTAATTATTCAATCATTTTACTTTGATGTACCTGAGATACTTGTCCCACAGAACAGCTTTATATATAAATTTGTTTTTATCAGAATGAGCAAAACATACTGAAGTCCTTAAAACAAAAAAAGTAATCAAAAAAACAGTTTTTATTTAATGACATCCACATTTCAAAAGTTATTGTATACTGAATTAATTAATCACAGTATTCTCAATAATAATTATATTTTACAGCAATTATTTTATTTTTCAACGATCATCAGTTTGTAGTAACCATCCTTATTCACGATATATATTTCATTTCCATTATATATATATTTATAATATATATATTTCAATATATATTTCAATTGAAAATGCATTATTTCAATTAAAAAATTAAAAACCTAGAATAAAAAATTATGACATAACCATCCAGTTTAAAACAAAATACACTAGAAAATCTCTGTTTCAAAACTTTGAAAACATCACAAAATCCACAATTTATATCACCAATTTTTGATTTTGTCAAATGAAATGTACAAGAGATTTGAAAACTGGAACTGTTTAACCTGCTTATACCAAAATTTAAAAAATTTCTATACCAGCCCGTGAATTAGATCAAAAACCATAGGTGGACAAACTGCAGCCTGCTAGTCTGATTATATAGCAAGTAAACATTATATGTGATTGAGTTTTATAAAAAAATAACATTCTGCACTTTTTCAATTCTCTAATTTTAACCATTTAATTAAAAAAAAATTTTAATTTTAAGCTCTCCAATAGAAACCAGGATTCCAGAATTAACCGTGTGATGTAGTGTATTTCTTCCCATTTATTACTTTTTCGAACTGAATTGATTTTAAACACTTTGGAGTCAAATATTATCTGATCTACTTATTATCTACTTATTTGATCTGAACAAAAAATTTCTTAACTGAGTATAAGTCTATAAAAAAATTAATGCTGAATCATTGTATTTTAAATGCTTTTAATGAAAATAATAAACTGTCTGTTTCAACATTTTAAAAATTTTATGAAAATTATTAGTAATTATAATTACTAAGGTTTTACATTTACAATTATATGAAATGAATAATAAAATTTGTCATAACAAAAAATTGATAACAATTATGTACATACATGAACTTGAGATTCAGTAACAGATAATTGTTGTTGATGAATTAATTCTGATTCTAATTTCTGAGTCATTAGAGATGTGGCTTGATTTTGTTGCTGCTGTTGTTGGAGAAGTTGAACAGTAGCTTCATTTATTTGTCCTGAGTCTGAATATGGAGTAACCAGAACATGGCCATCCTGCAGTGTCAGCACATTACCATTGTTGAACAAGTTAGATGACACTCCAGGTGGTAGGAGCATCATTTGATACGGAGGTACAACCCACGGCAAAGAAACTGGTGTCCCCTGAGTGCTTGGCACAAGTTGAACTCCAGATGTTGAAATTTGGGATAACATGCCATTACTTTGAGAAGTATCAATGATTTGAGATGTATCAAGAACTTCACTAGAACCATTTCGATCTAATGATTCCAGCTTGATTGAACTTTCATCCATCACTACCAAATTAGTAACAAAATTAACAAATCAATTAATTAATAAATTAATTTATAATTTTAAATATCCTAAAAATTCAACTGGGCTTAAATTTTGAAACAGTGAAATAAAAACAAAATATTTAATCAAACAACAAAAACGTATTTATTAGAATAAACACAGAAAATCAAATGAAACATAGGTACAGCGTAAAATAAAGGTATATACACAAAAAAGTAAGCCAACTATAAATAAATAAATAAAATAATCAATGAATAAGTAAGGTAACTAAATTGATCAGTGACTAAATTTACCTAATTTGAAAGAATCGGTAATGTTTTGAAAGAATCGTTTAAGTTTTTGCAATCGACGTTAAAACGCGGATAACTAACTTTAAAATAATTAACAAATATATTAAACCAAATTTGAAAAAAATTTGAATTTGGTATTTATTTAGGACTCCATCTTTTTCTATTGATCTACAGGATACGAAAGCATTAAATAAGTAAGACCGACAAAATATTTTTTTCATCCGTCAGATCCCAAGCGATATTTTGACAAAGACAAAGCCGTATTGTGGAGGATAATAAAAAATTTGTCTAAAGTATTCTAAGCATAATGTCTCAACACTTTTGCATACATACTTTAAACACATTGAATATGAGATAGAATTTAAAATAAGTTGAAAATGAAAATTATGTTTGAGAGTTATGTTATTAGAGTATTACAGTGGCACATTTACGTAAAAAAATTATTTGACCAAACTTCCTTCTAACAATTTTTTATTCAATCGCTAGAAGTTTAAACATTTTTTGCTAATAAACGTTTTCTTACAATAATGAGTAATTCACGCATGGAGTATATTGATCGTTTTTCATTCAGTATTACATAAGATCAAAAACTATCAACTAGCAGATTTTGCTACAGTTCAACGCGGTGATTTGTTTGATGCTTTTCAATTTATAGCTGAATGGGACTTCCTCCATTATTATCTTTCAATGCTGTCTCTAAGCCTTCAATTATTTCTGTATATGTGGCTTAGGATCTACCATGTCACGGTTTTCCAGTCTGGCTCAATTATCAATCGAAAGGAAGATGGTGAAGGACATCGACCTTGAGGAAGTTTTTGACAAGTTATTAGCTCTAAAAACTAGAAAAGACAAATTTAAAGATTGAATAAATATCTCTAACTTCTTTAACGGATTTAAACTACATTGAAGACAAAAAATTGTAAAATAACTTTATAGTAAAAAGTGATTCGCGAGATCAAAAACCTACCCGTGCAAAAGTAAGGTCTTCGGTAGGATGTCCGGCAGGAAAGCCAACGCGCCTCCGCTCTATTTGCCACGCCGCCTGCGGGGTATTAACATGACTTAAAAACCATGGTATAAAAATGAAAAGTTGAAGCGTAAATTAAGCAATAATAAAAATACTATGTGTCATAAACAACTGCATAGTTGGCGGTCTTAACCCGATATATATCTTATATATATATATATATATATATATATATATATATATATATATATATATATATATATAGCTATTCAATTTTCATTCATTCAATGATCCTCTGTAATCTCTTAAGAGACCGTTGAGGCCGATGGTATTCTTCTATCTCTTCAAAATCCTTTTCTTTCCCTCGCTATTTTCATTGAGCCCAATGTTCCAACCCCTGTCCATTCCGTGATATCATCCCCACTTCCTCACAGGTCTTCCAACTTTTTTCTTCCAGTCCCTCTTTCTCATCAGTACTTTTTTGATCAGTCTGTCGTCTGTCATTCTGCAGCTTTCTTTTCTTGACACTTTCATACACAGTTTTTTGTCTTCCAAGTTGTTTTCTTATGGCATCGTTTCTTATCTTTTGTCTCCAACCGATTCCCAGCAACTTTTTATAACAATGCATCTCGAATGCTTCCAGTTTGTCTTTGTCTCTTTTCTTCAACGTCTAAGCCTCACATGCATACATCAATGTAGAAAACACACACGCTTCTACGATCTTTACCTTTGTTTTTGTAGATAAATTACCGTTTTTCAATATTACTTTCAAAGATGCAAAAGATATATAGCTATAGTGGGTTGACTAATACGAGTACGTAATGTACACCATCTCCCACCACGACCAAAGGTGCATATTTGAACAATTAACGATCTTACTCATTCTATTTATATACATGGGTTTTTGTGAAGTACTGAAAAATCACCTTAGTTCGCAATACATATTATCTACTCACTGGGAGTAAATGAACTAAGTTGCAGTTTGGACTCCGGCTACCGGTGAGTTATATCTTAATGGTTGAAACATGATTTTTTTTTAAGAAGTAAAAAATACGTGCGCCCTCTTATCCTACTATGCCTATTATTTATCAAACCTATGACACTGACTATGTGAAACATATTATTAATAAAAATATTATTAATTCACTCTGTTGGAGTTAAGCGCATTTAAGACAAGTGTCTTCAGGTTGTCAATGACTACATTCTGTTGCCATAGGCATAAACAACGATGAAAAGTTTGTAGGAGGTTCTAAACATTTCAATTCTAACTTTTTTTCACTGTTGCCCATGGACAAAATTATTTATTTCAATTTTTTATCACGTTTTTGTTTGTGATTTTTGTGATTTTTTGTTATACATCGTTTGTATCTTTAAATTTAATTTGAAAATATGGCGTCTGCTACTGAAACCGCGGAAGCAGTCGATCAAAGGATAGAATTTATTGGAGATTATATTTCCAAAACCATGAAATTGCGTTCTGAACGATGGAACAGATTATATTCCGTTGAAGAAAACAAGCAGATGATTTTAGATTTTTTTGAGAAAAGCGATCGAACCAGTTTAATATTTTCCATAAACATTTCTGGTGTTTTGACTGTGTCATTTTCTTGGCCAACTACGTCAAAAACGAAGTGCGTTTATTTTTTTAAAAAGTCCAATGAGATTATAGGAAAAGAACCTGGATGGAGGCAAAAAATCATCTTTGGAGATATTGGTCAATCGCCTATTCAACAGTTTTCTCTTTTTCTAGAAGAGGTTACAATTTACATTTGGTTTTTTTCTTTTTTTTTTTAAATAATTTAAAATCGAAAGTTTGTCAAGAAGCTTAAAATTTGTGATATTTCAAAACATTGTTTGCTATCTGTTCATATCATTTCATTCAAGGTTATGCTGCCAATATTGTCAAACAAAAAAAATTGTGAAACCTGGCCTCGTGTAATTTATGAAGATATCATGCAAAATGTTCAGGAGCTAAGTAGTGCTGCCTATGTTCTATCAGGGTTAGTCAAAGGACGCACATTATTGCCCTTGCCATACAACATGCCATCCTCAATCAATGCATTGCAGTACACCAGCGCAAGGAAGTAAGAAATTATCACCTCGTAATGTTTATTCATATAAAATTTTTCCTAAAAGTTTTCAAATTAAAAAATTTTCTAACTTTTACAAATTAATAATTAAAATAATTAAATGATGTTGGAAATATAAATTGATTGATTGATTGGTTGATTGGCTGGTTGATTGATTGGTTGGTTGGTTAATTGGTTGGTTGGTTGATTGATTGATTGATTGATTGATTGATTGATTGATTGATTGATTGAAACTTTTTTATTTTTAAAATGATATTTTAAAAAGTGCTCCTCAAAGCAATAAAATGCTTGATAGAATAATAAAATTAAATTAAACAACAGTCTTAGAACACATAAAGTACATAATCTAAATTAAATTCTTACATTTTCATGACTGGACAGTGTTTCATAACTTTTCAAATGTTTTTTAGCAAGATCAACTTATGATCTATCATTAAAACTTAATTATTTATGAATATTATCCGCTGATCTCAATGATTGAAATATGATTGAAATTAAAATTTTTAAATGAGATACTAATACTTAATAATTTTTTTTAAGGTTGACAGCACAAAGTCAGCAGTTGGTTCATGACATGGAAACTTTGGTCATAGAATGGAGCAATCAGATATATGAAGTGTTGCAAAAGGAATCCGATGAACCACTGATTGAAAATCTTAATCCAACACCTTACGTTGAAATTGAATTTTGGGAATCTAGATATTTAAATTTAGATTGCATTAATGATCAAGTTGGCAAAAACATTTTTAGTGTTCAAATGTTATACATTTCTAATTATATCTTTCTTTTAATTTAAATGGTTTCTATGGTTAACAGACTTTTAAAAACAAGAACAGTTTACTGTTAATAGTCTTTGTTTAAAATTCTTGAAACAAGGTCTATATTTTGTTGAAAATTATCTAAATTCTTTAGAAAGATTATAGATTAATTTTTTGCAGATCACGTTTGGTATTTAAGTTATTATTTGTACCTTGTACAAAAGTTTGAGTTTATTATTCTATCAAACGTTTCTTCATTTAACACTGGCTACTATATTGATTTAAACCAGTTGAAATGTCAAAAGATTGAAATAATGTCTGAAATCTTGGAAAGATCATATTCAGTTTACAATCCACTTTTTGTAAAGTTAAAGAAAGATGTTTCTGAAGGTTTATAACATTTTTTGAACATTTTTCTGTTGTTCAAAACGTTCTTATCTATGTTTCTACAATTGAACAAAAACTAAAAGTTTTGTGTGAATGATATTGTTTTTAAAAATATCATGGAAAATAACCGTAACTGAACAGCATGTGAAGAAGCAAGAGATATCTGCTTGTTTTTGAAGCCATTGAGACTGTCCCTTGATGATTTGGAACAAGTTGATTTTTATGATTTATCTGGCAAATTGTCAATTCTTATGCATACTGTGTTTACCATATGGTGTCATTCCAAATTTTACAACACTCCCGAAAAAGCCATCACTTTGTTTCAAGAAATCTGCAACATGCTTATCACAAAGGTACACAGTTAACAATTTAGTTGCTTTCACGTTCATTTTACTAACTCATATGACTTAAATCAAAGTAGTCATTTATATTGACAGTGTCGAGTTTATTTGGATCCACATGAATTGTTTAAAGGGGAAGCGGAAGAAACTGCAGAAAAAGTTGACCTGACGATCAAAAATATGAAATCCTTCAAAACTATTTACTCAATTTATAAAGGGAAAGTGAGAGAGAAGGCACAAAACACACCTGGCATGAAGGATTGGGAATTTCCATTACACTTAATTTTTCACAGATATGATCTTTTTTACAAACGGGTTTCAGATATCATGGTTAGGATATACAAAATTTTCATCTTGTAGGTTAAAATTACACCAGACTTAAGCCCTGATGCAAAAACTGCCTGATGCTTTCTAAGCCTTTATCGCAACCGTAACCTTTTTTTTGACCATATTAATTTGACAAAGTTTTATTCAAATTTTACAAAATGTGGATAAATAAGGACTCTGGGTTGTTCTTTAATTTTGTAAAACATCAAGATTAATCGCCTAGTTCCAAAATTTTTTTAGGAAGTTTTTTCTTTGCAATTGGAGTTCATGAAGTTAGAAAAAATAGAATTTAGTGGTCACAAAGGAGGCTCATTGGGCAATGCCCGAAAAAGAATTTACGAAGAGTTCAAAGAAAGTTTCAAAGAATTTGTTGATTTACAATGTGATATATTAGACCCATCAGATCAGGTTTTTTCACAGGATATTTTTTAACTTAAATTTTATTTTGGTTCAGATGCTTTTTAAAAATTTGTTTGAATATATTGAGACACAACATTTATAAATGAACTAATATCATCATCATTATCATCATCATCTGCCTGTTGGTGTTTAACGCTCTGTCTATTGATTGTTTCCTTACATGTTTAGCTGTTATTTAACAGCTAAACATGTAAGGAAAATCTAAACAGCTAAATTGGCGTTGAAGTTCACCAAGGCTTGATTCTCAGTCCACAGTTATTTATAACTGTGATGGAAGAAATCATAAAATCGGTACGCACTGGTGACATTTGGAATCTAATACATGCTGATGATATCGTTTTAACAGCCACGTCTGAGCAGAGTGCAGCACAGATGTTTGAAGATTGGAACACCAGACTCGCCGATCATGGATTCAAAGTCAACATCAGCAAAACCAAAGCAATGAACACTGATGAACCCATCCAATCCACAGCTACTGGACGATGGCCTTGTTCAGTTTGTAAAGCTGGTGTAGGTAACAATTCAATCAAGTGTCAGCATTGTAATCAGTGGTGTCACAAACGTTGTTTAAAAATAATTGGTACTTTATCTAAAGTGTCCAATTTTGTTTTTCCTGCTTGCATCAATCCACAACAACAGATTCGAAATAGCAATGTTTTTGAAGCCATTAAGATAGAAAAAGTCACATCGTTTCAATATCTAGGAGATGTTCTGAATTGTACTGGAACAGCTGAAGCTGCCGTTCGAGCACGCATACGTGCAGCCTGGAATAAATGACATCTCCTTACCTCTATATTGATGCGGCGTGACATTCCACTACCACTACGATCAAGACTTTATAAATCTGTGATACGTCCGGTGTTGTTATATGGTGCAGAAACATGGCCAACGACAACCAAACTGGAACAACAACTTCAACGAACCGACATGAAAATGCTCCGATGGATGCAACGAATTAGTCTGAAGGACCACATCAAATCTACCAAAATCTTGCGTCGTACTGGTTTAGATGATATAAAGGACGAATGCCGGCAACACCGTCTGCGGAGGTTTGATCATGTCAAACGAAGTGGAAACAGTGCCATAACTTCTCTTGCAGATGTTGAGGTACCTGGCACACGTCCCAAAGGCCGCCCAGAGAAGTCCTGGTCGCAAACAATCGAGCAAGACATGAAAGCTCTAAATTTAAATGAAATGAATCGTCTAATTTGGCGCAAAAAATTGATGGCAAAAAAAACAACGTCCTACCTCGGGGAGCCGGGTCTCTGGACGCAAAACGAAGATTGATTGATTGATTGTTTAGCTGTTATTTGCTCTCCTCGTAAGTGTCCAATTGTCTTTAATTACTCCATTTTGTTACGTTATCCAACCATTCAAGATTAGCTTTTTCTCTTTTATTGGCAGAGCCAGTTTTACAGTTGGAATTATTCTAAGCAGAATCAATTTAGTGGCTTTAAATATGATAAAAAAAACTAGTTACCTGGAAATTTTATACTGGACGATAATTTTGTAACAAAGAAGACACATTTAAGTTAATTAATGTTTTTCATTGCTTAAAAAAAGGATGATATATATATATCATATGCTGTTAGTAAGATAGATTAGCCATTTTTTAGACACAAGTTTGTCTTTTAAAAGGACGAAATTTCTTCTCAGACCAGCATGTAACCACCTCCAAACTTCATGCTGTAAAATGCCGACTTACTTTTCTCAGGTCATGCCTATTATACTTTTGGCTGTCTGGGCCGTCTAGGTTGAATGTTGTTCTGATAACCACCTCTAGGGAGTTTGTTATTTTGCACTATAATGTATAATGTCATATATTAACGTTTAAAAAACACATATCAACTGGACCATCATGGATCATAGGATTCATATGTTTCAGAAAAAGAAAGTGTCCTATCCCTTTTGCTATCACTGTATAATGATAATTTTTTGAGTTTTTTACAATTTCATTTAGTTTTTAAACGTGTACGTATTATATCACCAGGGTTTTGAAAAACAACATAGAACGTTAAAGAGGGTGGTAGAAGATCTCGATGTTAGACTGGCCACACTTATTTGCTTAGGTCTTGATGATGCTAATGGCTTGGAGGGAGTATTTAAGGTTTCTTTTGTTATTTAATTCATCAAGTTCTCATTTCAACGTATTTAGTTTTTTTGTTTCTTATTTATTTAAATAATTTTTATATTATTTTACTACACAATTGTAGTTGTTGGATTCTTTGGGAACATTGTTAGATAGGCCAACAATAAAAAATGATGTAGATGAAAAATTACCTGACATCATCAAACAAATGGATGATTTCTTATCAGAAACCAAACAGCTCTATGACGATCAGATCAATGATATCAAATCTTCCGGTAAAGTCGACCTACACGTCAGCATGCCTAAAATGTCAAGCCATTTGGAATGGGCCAAAGGTCTAAAGGAAAGAATCGCCATTCATATGACATACTTCAAGAGGATTGAATTTTCGTGAGTGTTAATTTTTTTCAAAGTAATATGTTGTCTTTTATTTTTTCTACTTCATTAAACTATTGAAATGTTGCTTCTATTATATATTCACACGAATAATTTTGTGCTGACTAGAATGATCGTATGTGTAGAAATCACTCAGTATGTCTAAAGTGTTTTAAATTATAAAAATATATGTTTAATACTCATTATTATATTTGAAATAAATTGTAACGAGTGCAGTCCCCTACATAGAAAAGATGTTTCCGATGTAAATGCACATTATGAAGAAATGATTGGACTTTTAAACAAGTTTTTGAAATTTTTTATTAATTTTTTTCGTTTGGGGCTTTTTCGATAATTTCACAATTTGTACCACTATTTTATATCTGAAATTTTCAAATCAAAACATGTTTTACATGTTAGTGTTATATAATATTTTTATTAAACGTGTTATTAAAGTTACTGCAATAATGCTCGTTGAAGGTTTATAAATGACGTGAAAGCAGAATGGTTGTCCACCGTTGGCAACACTTGTCATGATAATCTTAAAAAGTTTCTAGTTGCAAGAGATACCGTTACTAATTATATAAGTGTCAACTTTGATTCAGAGGTAGTCTGATTAACATTTTTATTTAAAAGTTTCTTTAGAAGAAAATTCATGGAACTTATTTTGTTTTTTTTAAATAGCTGAAAGCATTACTTAAAGATGTCCGCTATTTGAAAATGCAACTGAATGAGAACCTGATCAACATTGAAAATGATTCATCGAGTAGTCACTCAGCTGACACCTCTCTCTATTTGGAAATTCCTGACAGTGCCTCACATCTTTATGGAAGAAATGAAGAGCTGTGGAGGTTTAAAACGTGTTTGGACCTGATAACTCAGTGGTACAACGAAGTAAAAGAAGCTTTGCTTGAAGTTGAATACCCTCTGATTGAAGAACAACTTGTTGTTGCTGACAAACAATTGGAATTAGCGGAAAAGCATTATACTTGGGAGACTGCAGGTTCGTTAGTTGTGAAAGGTTCATTGCTTTTCATCATTTGCTTTTCTGGACTTGAATCACGCTCACAAAAATTTGGATTAAATAGTGTCATGTCGACTATTTTTTAAATAATATTTTTAAAAATTAAAACAAGATTTTTAATATTTCTACCAAAAATTGTTGATTCTATAAAATTTTCTTGAATTATTATTTTTCGTATTTTAACTATCCGGATATAATTTAACTCCTTAAAAAACTTATGATGTTAATTTGTTGAAAAATAGGGCGTATTGGCAAAGACTTTAAACGCATTCTGTTTTACAGGAGCCTGGGAATTTATAACAGAAACTAAAAAATGTGTGTCAGAATTGAACAAAAAGTTATTTCAAACAAAGGCAAATGTTGATCAAATGAAGAAAATAATGACGACATGGAGCAAGACTCCCTTGTTTGACAGAAGCGAAGGTAAGACATCTACCTTGCTGAACATCAGTGATAAGGAGGATAAATTAAAGAAGAGATATTCTGAATTGTCACAAGCTGGCATTAAAATTCATCAACTTGTTCGGGTATGCTAATTTATGATAGAGTTAATAAATGTGTTTATTGGTAAGCATTTTGAATAGTTGGAAAGAAACTCATAATTGCTTAAGGCATATAATTTTCTACTAAAAAGATGTAAAACCGCAATCTTATTCAAAAAGAGCATGCCGTCTCACATGGTCTTATATGCAAAATTGTTTAGGCTATTTTAGCCATCAACAGATCATTTTAAAATTTGTAAAATCTTTCATTGCTACATCCGCCGAGGGCTTTCCTTTTTTTTTACACCCAATTTCCGAAACCTGGACACTCTGGACACTTACTCTATTTTATCCTTCCTATTGATAGGACAAATACAAACCGCCTTAATTTTCTCTCTCTCTAACAAACCCATATATATTGTCATATATGTCTAACTACACATCTTAACTTTTCTCTACATTTCATTATTGATATTTTCTCTCCATATTTTACGTTAGTTTCATAACAAACAAGTTGAAATTAAAAAAATCTTAGTCGTTAGTTTCGCTAAAATAACAATTGATTTTTTATTTCAAATTTGTCATGAAGTCTAACAATTTTGATATTTTAACCAATTGAAAATTATTTTAATTTGAAATATGTTTATTAAATTTTCTTGTTTGAATAATTTGAAATTGACCAGGACAATTTGCAGTTGTTTGGATGCAGTGAACAATCAGATGAATGGAAAGCTTACGTTGATTTCTTAGATGAGATGATCGTTGAGTCCTTCTTTCTCATCATTCAGTGCAGTCTTCATTTTCTTCAGAACAACACAGTACCTCTGGATGGTCCTGCTCCTCTCTTCGAAACAACCATGGAACTTCAGGTCAAAAAATTTTCAGTTTCATATACAAGTCTTACAAAGTTGTCATTGCAATGCGCAATGAGGCAATTGTTCGTTAATATTCTACATCACGGAGATCCTTGTCTTCATCATTTTAAAATAATATAATTTGTTTATTTTTGTTAGGCTCCAGATATTATATTTATTCCATCTATGGATGAAGGTGTTGCTGATGGATTCTTTGAAATTGTGGATAATTTGATCTGCGACATTTACAAGCAAGCATCCGTTATATCAAGACTATCCACTGAGTGTGGCATCGCTAATTACCAGGTTGAACTGTTCAAACCTTCAACTTTTTTTCGCAAAATGTAAAACATGAAAAATGTAGCTACTAGTAGTTTTTAGGAGAAATACGTATTAAGCTATGCAAATAACTCTATTGACCAATTGTTAATTTTGACTAGGAGTATTTTTATTTCAAAAATTCAGTCAAAAAGTGTAACTGAGTTTATTATTGAATAAAAAAATATTGTTTTATTTAAAAGCCTGATGCTGAGTCGTCTGAAGATTTGAATAAAATGCGATGTGATTTGATGGAGCACGTGAACAACATGATGTTGAGAGCAGCAGATTTCAAACAATCTTTCGATTCCTATGTCTATCTGTGGACTGATGATAGAGCCGAATTTCTCAAACAGTTCCTCCTGTACAATCACGTGTTAACAGCTGAAGAAATTGAAGCACATGGTGGGGATGGCATTCCAGAAAATCCTCCGACTCTACAACAGTTCAAAGATCAAGTTTGTTTTACTTTTATTTTCCTACAGTCTACTTCATCAAAGTTCCTACAAAAACTTGTTTGCCCAGTTCATCTTTTAAAGTTTCATTATGATTATCTAACTTACTTAAAACAAAATTACTCTTCTATACATTATTCGTTTAAATGTGTGGATTAGATAAGCCAGTTTGGCTTATTATGCATTGAAATGTTTTGATTGAATGAACTAGTTTTGAAAGATAATTTATTGGTGGTTAGCATTTAGATGATGAGTAACTCAATTTTTTTTTTGATGCATTCCACAAATATCATCGAAACATTTGATCGTCGTTGTGAACAACATCCCTCCCTCGAATGGATGGATGGATGTTCTAGATCGATCACTACGAGCACCTGTACAAGGAAGTTGAATCAATTGACGGAGTGGTCGTCTTCGAGAACTGGTTCCGAATTGACGCTCGGCCCTTTAAACAATCGCTACTCAACACTATCAAGAAGTGGGCGCTCATGTTTAAGCAGCATCTTGTCAGTCACGTGACCACCAGGTTGGTGGCAGATGAAGTCCTGATGATGCTGATGATGAGGTCATATGGTGTTATTCATGAGATGATCATTACGCAAATGCTTAGCATGGCGCGTGTAATAATATGGATGATAAAAATAATGATGATTGTGGTGATGACGACTGTTGATGGTGACGATATTGTTTGTAATGATGAGAGTCAGATGATAGACAATAACCACAGCGCTACTTGATGTTTATACGTTGATGTTTCAAACGATGACGATGCTGACGATGATGTTAATGATGCTGATAATGATGATGTTACTGAAAATCATGACTATAATCCTTGATGTCTAATAAGACGCTGATAATGCGTTCTATGCACTGAACGACAACAAAAATAATGATGCTGCTAGCAGTAACATTTGTGGCCAGTACATTGTATAGTAACAAGAATATTAATTGGAATTGAGCTTCAATGATGTAAAAAAAACTGTTAGTTTGAAGGAGCTGAATGATTTCATAAAAGTGGTTGGAAAAGGGTTGTCGCAGCAAGTTAAGGAAGGAGATTACGATGAACTCATACAAGTTTGTGTCAACTACGAGACTTCATTCATTCGCGTTTTGTATTTCTATTGATTTTTTTGTTCAATTTATTTTGCAATTTTTGTCAGTCTATGTCAGGTTTTTAATACCGTTAATTTTAGTGTTTAATCATAATTGTTTTTACATTTTATTGTTTCATTTTTGACACAAATTTTTATATTTTCATTGCTGATACTAACTTGAAACTTTGAATTGACGCACGTGAAGGTGATGGGTCATTTATTGTCAGTGAAAGAGAGGCAGGGATCAACCGACGCCATGTTTGAGCCTCTGAAGGAATCAATCGAATTGTTGAAAGCCTACAGCCAGGATGTCACTGATGAGGTGCACCTGCAACTACAGGTATGTTATCTCACCTTATTGATTGACTGACCGACTGACCGACTGATTTGAAATCTGTTCAGGAACTACCAGAGCAATGGGGCAACATAAAAAAGCTTGCACTGACAGTCAAGCAGCAGGTGGCTCCACTGCAAGCCAATGAAGTTGCCAATCTGAGGAAGAAGACGGCATCATTTGATGTTCAGCAACAAGGTTTGACTGCTGTTTCGGATCATATATATATATATATATAAACAATGTTGTATAAAATATGATCCCCTTCAACATATATTTATATGGTTTAGTTTTGAAATGGGATTGTGATTACATTCATTGTTCACCCAACATTAAGTTTGCAATCGCTTGTTGACAGCTTAAAATGCTAGTTGATTAATGCTATCTATTTCTGTATCTCAATTTTAACAACTTTGTTAGAATTCCGCGAGAACTTTAGAAAGATGCCAGCCTACAACTATTCATGCCACAACCCCTATGATGTCCTCAATGAAGTATCATTATAACTTTCCTACTTATTTAGAAAAAATTTTCAATCTTCTTTTAAATTATGTTTTGGTTGGTATATAGTTGTTTATAGTCTTTATCATTTAATAATGAAAAAACGACATCTATATGACATTTATTTTTTTTATCCGGTTAAAAAAAGAGAGTTACAAATATTTTAAAAAATGAACTACTAAATAGTATCAATTGAAACTGACCACGATTGAGAAGACGATGACATCATTGGTGACGTCAGCAAGTCTATTTGAAGTGGCCATACCTGATTTCAAGCACATAAAGTTGTGCAGACGAGACATCGTCCTGTTAAAAGTGCTCTGGGATTATGTCTTCTGTATTAGATCAACATTTGATGACTGGAAAACAACTCTGTGGAAGAGAATAAACGTGGAACACATGGAGCTGGAATCGAAGAAGTAACATCATGATTTCACAGTCACGTTATAACTATTGTACATACCTTACTATAGAACTTGTTGCGTACGGTCATTTATTTTCTTTAAGATTATTGCTGATAATCAATTTTTATATTTTTTTTGGCGGTCAATCAAAAATCAAGCTGCTAAAATTATTGCGGTGTTTTCAAATTTGATCACTTTGGATCAACTGTACTGGTTGACTGTTAGCAAACGCATCATATATAACCCCTGCATTCTGGAGTTTGAATGTACAAAGTACTCAACACCAACGTGTTTGCAAAATAAGTCTACGTCTGAACCGAAGCTCTACATTCATTAAACTTGCGTTCAAATGATTTTGATATTATAATGTTCATTTTGCAGTATTAAGTCTTTCAATATGGAGTAGTCTCCAAAGTCACCTGTATGACTCAAGTTTAAATTTTTTAACATTGAGAAATATGTTAATGACCTGTTTGTTCGTGTTGCAGCAAATGTGGTTAAAGTGTATTTGCAGGTCCAAATTGTAACACTTGAACAACAACTATTTATTTTTATTTACTTATTAGAGATAATAAATAAAATAAAAACATTTATTTCTTTACTTATTTATTAATAACCTAAAATGTAAACCAAACTGTTTGCTTTATAGGTTAACAAAGGTGATTAGAACTCTGGATAAGGAAATGAAACCTTGGGACGTTTTCATTGGTTTGGACAACACCATCAAAAATATGACAACCTCACTGACTGCTGTCAACCAGCTTCAAAATTCTGCCATCAGAGAGAGACATTGGATGCAGCTGATGCGAGCGACAGGGGTGCATGTCTTTTATATATTTTATGGTTCATGTTTAAAATTATTAAGGTTACCGAGTTTGAATTTTTTCCTAATAATTTCATAATCGAAGGTGCGATTTACATTTGACGACAAAACCACACTTTCTGATTTGCTTTCTCTTAAACTGCACAACTTTGAAGATGAAGTAAAGAACATAGTCGATAAATCAGTGAAAGAGCTAAGCATGGAGAAGATGCTTAACTCCATTCATGAATCTTGGACAGACATGCAATTTGAACATGAGAAACATCCTCGCACCGGCATCACCTTGTTGAAAGCCAGCGAGACACTCATTGAAACTTTGGAGGAGAATCAGGTAACGTGCATATCTGTTTCTGTTTGTGGGTTGTTTTATAATATTTTGTGACGTTCTGCCGAAATTTGTATATGAATCTGGTTGTAGTTGGTATGAAACTCAAAGTTTTGAACGATGTGAAACTTTCTTCGTGTTGATATATGGAAAAAAATACTAATATTCGAAAGTGAAGTCGAACGTTTGCTGTTAGTTGATAAAATATTTTCCGATTTTATGTCGGTGTAATGTTAACAACTGTGAAACAGGTGCAACTGCAGAACATGTTAACTTCAAAACACATCGCTCACTTTTTGGAGGAAGTTTCAACGTGGCAGAAAAAACTTTCCACAGCTGATCAGGTTAAGTCAATTTTAGCATTTGTTTGGCTTAGAGAGAAGGTTGTTTTAAGTAACAATTAAATAATAATAATACAATAAAATGATTCAAATTTTATATATTTTTGAAAGTGTTATAAATGTTTATTCTTAAAACATTACGGCTGACTTTTATTCGTTGGTATGAAAAATTATCTGAGTGTTGAACGTACGTTGCAGGTGATAAGTATTTGGTTTGAAGTGCAGCGTACCTGGTCTCACCTAGAGAGCATCTTCATTGGATCTGATGACATCAGAACCCAACTCCCTCAAGATTCTGAACGATTCGATAAAATTGATGTCGATTTTAAGGTCTTATAAGCGTTTTTTGTAATTTTGCTTGGAAATTTCTCTACAAGCTTTTGAGAAATTTTTTTATATGAATCAACAGAAAATAATAAAAAAATAAACGAAACACATTATGAAATAATTTAGATTGTTTTATTATCTTCTTTCCACATTATTGGCTACCTATAAAGCTATATTTAACAAAAATTTATTGAAACCAGGAATTAGTTAAAGAAGTGGAAACAACAACCCAGGTGCTCGAAACCACTAGTCGACCACGCCTCTATGAACGTCTGGAGACCATCAAAGACCAACTCACCCTTTGTGAGAAGGCCCTTGCTGAATATTTGGAAACTAAAAGATTGGCTTTTCCTAGATTTTATTTTGTGTCAGCTGTCGATTTGTTGGACATTTTGTCTAATGGAAATCAGCCATCTCTAGTGATTGTTTTGTTATTTTATTCTTTTTATTAAATAAACAACCAGTTGAAGTCTTTTTTGCAAACATAAAAATATTGGTATATTAATGATGTGGATACTTGTTCATTTCATTTCATAGGTAACTCGTCATCTGACGAAATTGTTTGATAGCATGGCACAGTTGAAATTTGATGACGGCAAGTTAAGTGCAGATGATGGTGTTGCAAGAACGGCAATCGCTATGTGGAGCAAAGATGACGAATTTGTCCACCTCTCCTCTCCTTGTGACTGCAGTGGGCAGGTTGGTAACTCGAACATTTTCAAACTTAATTTAATAATATTTATCGTTCGGTTTAAAGAAGTATCATCTCCTGCCAAAATACACAAAACATGTTTAGGTTATTTATTAAAAAGTTGAATGAATTGTCCATTTTTGATATTTTGCGATTAATTAATGCATTGCTGTTGATCAGGTAGAAGTGTGGTTGAACAGACTGCTGTCTTGTATGAGACAAACAATAAGGTACGAGTTGACTGAAGCACTGGCTGCCTCTGAAGAAAAGATGAGGGAACAGTGGCTCTTTGAATTTCCAGCACAAGTTGCTTTATGTTGCGTGCAGGTTCACATGCTTCACTATTATATTTCGCATTCATTTCATCTCAGTAAATCTTTATACTTTTACTGTGGTTTCAAATAATTCTTAGGCTATTTAGGTTCCTTAGGTATTTTAAATGAAAAAGTGCTATTCTTGTTTTTAATTAGTTGGTTTTGATAATTCAATTATTTATAGTTGTAGTGTTTTTTGATGTTATTGAATAATATAGTTTGAGGATAACTCTAGAAATAGTTGCTATTATTTGGTTTTCTCTTCACATGCTTCAAAGAAATTTATAAAACTGTACTGAAATTTGTTGCGATGTTACTTATCTGTTTAGATTTGGTGGACGACAGAAGTGAACATGGCGTTCGGCCACTTGGAGGAAGGCTTTGAGAATGCTCTCAAAGATTACAATAAAAAACAGGCTTCTAATTAATTAATTAATTAATATTTTGTTTTACTCTATTTATGTAATTTAGAAATGCTGATGTTTCATTTGTTTTATTAATCATTTAATTATTCGTTCATTTATTTTGTCAAATAATTATTTGGCGTAAAAGCTTTTTGGTTTATTTGTCCAAATGTTGAATGTTAAATTTTCCCTATGCCCATCTCAAACATAAAACACCGGAGGTTTATATATTTGATTTTTGTGTATGTGTTTGCTGACTGAGAAATACTAAAGGGCGAATTTAACAAAATGATAATAATTGGAGATGAATAAAATGTTAATAACAACCGTTCTGAAGGTACTTATGATGCGATGTTTCACAGATAAGTCAGCTGAACGTCTTGATCACGATGCTGACTGGAACACTGACGCCAGGCGACAGGCAGAAGATAATGACAGTCTGCACAATTGAGGTGCATAACCGAGATGTTGTCAACAAATTAATTGCTCAAAAGGTAGAGAACTCGCAGGCCTTCACGTGGCTTTCCCAGCTGAGGCACAGGTGGGATGATAAGGAGGAAGATTGCTTCGCTAACATATGTGATGCTCAGGTTGGTCTCTCTTCTTTACTTCTGTCACGGCAATCACGATAGATAACATTGCGAATGCTTTTTATGACACCTTTCAATGAACCACCGTGCTCCCAAAAGTTATTGGTTTGACCACGTAAACTGCGCTAAACATTTAATAGACGACTTTTTAATTAATTCGAAAATATTTAGTATTTTATTATTGTTGTTTCTAACGACGCCGTGATTCTAGCACGTAGAATGCGCCTACATTTTAAACGGTTATAATAATCGGCAATTAAGTTTTTACGTCATGTTACAAAACAAACTTGACGTGTTAAAATTTGTTAAATAACTATAACCTTCACATCACTTCCCAATCAACCTTCCTCTAACCCACCTCTTGTATAGAACCCATATCTTCTCTTACACCCATCTTCGTCAATGATCCTACATTCCTGGTAGCTGTCCTGTCTACACTCTTAACCAGCTTTTTTACATTTTCGCTGTTAAATATTTCCCTGATAGACAGATGTATTCCAAATTCAATAAAGGATTTGACTTAGATAAATTAAAAACAGTTATGTTCAACGTTGGTTCCACTCTGCACTACTTTTTTGTTGTAAGTGTTGAGGGTAGTATTTCAGAAAGTGGTAATATTGTCAAAAGAAATAGTTAAAAAACCAAATATTTTCTTTTTAGTTCAAATATTCGCACGAATACCTCGGGAACTCTACGAGACTCGTCATCACACCATTGACTGACAGGTTCATATTTGTTTCCAATTATGGTTTTGCTTAATTAATTTTCAAATGAAAATTCTTGTTTTTAAAAATTAGTTACCCATAAATTATTAATGTGTATTGAATACACAATAAATTTTTTTTTAAAGTAATTTATTTTTGAACAATGCAATGTAACGTATTTTAGCATCAATAGAAGTTTGCTGCTACAAAGATTGTATATTCTATTCAAGTTTTTGAATAAACTTGAAACATATCATATAATAAAATCATTTTTTTATTTTTCAGTGTGCATTTGTAATTTGTGCCTAGCTGGAATTTAATGGTTTTTATAACATTAGGAGTTACATATCTTATCTACATTTTATGTAGTCTATAAGCGTTTGATCTTAAAAAAAGTTTTCCAACATAATGTTAATAAGAGAATTTGTAAGCGTTAACCACTTTGTTGCATAATTTTTTAACATTATTTATTGTTAATAAATAATCAAGTTAAAATAATTAGAAAGCTACAAGAATGGTGAATCATTTTTACAACTTTCCATTTTTATCTTTGTCCTTTTGTTGTACAAATATTTTTTGTTCTGTTTGCAAAGATGTTTTATTGGCTAATGCTTAATAAGCTTACGTTTTTTCAGCATCTGATCAATTATTTGACAAGTGCACGCATTGGAGTCAATTGCTGGCCTGTGAATTTATACTTAAAAGCAACTCAGAGCAAGATCACTTTGACACTCTGTACAACAGAGCTTCTTCGTTGGATTGCGAAAAATTAAAAACTTCTCATGTGTTCTTTGCTTTGCGCACATTTTCCGCTTGTAGCTCCCGCTCATTGTGTGCCATGCATGGTCTTTTTCTGAAACGACTAATAGTTTTATTAAGGGTTAAAAAAGCTATTTATTTCTTCAGTATAACCAAAAATGTTTTTTCAGTTCATTTGATTTCAAACTTCACTTTGGCTTTAAATTATTTTTTTTTATACTGCTGTTGTTTTTTGATATGAAAGTATCAAATTTATCAAAAAACCTGTTAATGTGTTAACAATTTATAAGTTCATGTTTTTGCTAATCTAATTAATTTTAAATTTTTTCTCTGTTTGATGTTTTTTTACTTGGTCAAATAATAATAAAATGTTTCAAATAATTGAAAAATTAATGTTAGAAATTATTTTAATTTAACCAGGAACGAGAATAAAATTATTTAGGTTTAGCAATCATGTGTTAATTTTGTTTCTTTTGTTTAAAAAATGGTATATATCAAGAAAATGCACGTTCAAAAAATGATTTCAGATGTATAGTAGTTAAATACAAATGGAAAAAACTGTCAAATTTTTTTATTGCAATTTTGTGGAGGCAGATGCTACATAACTCTCACTCAGTCTCTGCACCTAACAATGAGCGGCGCACCAGCTGGTCCTGCTGGGACTGGTAAGACAGAAACCACCAAGGACCTGGGGAGAACCCTTGGAGTTATGGTCTACGTTTTCAACTGCTCAGAACAAATGGATTATAAAGTAAGAATTAGTATTTTAAACCATTCGTAATAAAAATAAGGTCATGTCTACTGTGGTTTTATTTTAATTACATGTAGCTCTCTATTTTTTATTTATTCAATTTTTGTCAAAAGATTTTTACAAAATTTGTTGCCACACTTCAACATCAGTCCATAGGTAACATTTACAAAGGCCTGGCGCAATCAGGAGCCTGGGGATGTTTTGATGAGTTTAACAGAATATCCGTTGAAGTGCTGTCCGTAGTGGCCGTTCAAGTGAAATGCATTCAAGATGCCATCAAGTCAAAAAAGAAAGTTTTCAGTTTTCTCGGTGAAGAGATCAGCTTGATGTCATGCGTCGGTATATTCATAACTATGAATCCAGGATATGCCGGCAGAACTGAACTACCTGAGAACCTTAAGGCACTATTTAGGTAGATATTTATTCAACATTTATCATCATCCTTTATAATAATAATTTGTTATTTAATCTATCCTTTCGGTAACTAAGTGCTTGCACTGTAACTTCTCAAACATTTATGAAATTAAGTGGGTGAGTTTAACTTTATAACATTTTTGGGCAAACATTAACTGAGAGCGTAATTTAACATTAAATAAAATCTGATGTCCATATCAATATCTTTTAACAGTGATTTGAAAGGATTGAGTAATTATTTTAGATATTTTATGAAATCTTCAAATAAATATAACCAGGAGAATGTTAACGGAATGTTCTGTTTGCGTGGTTTTTATTTTTTGAAAATCCTCTCTTTATAACTTTTTTGTTACAGTTTAGTATTATTCTGTTTTTAAGCATTGAAATAATGTTATCTTCAACACAACAATTATAGGCCCTGTGCAATGGTTGTGCCAGATTTCGAATTGATTTGTGAAATTATGTTGGTTGCAGAAGGCTTTCTGGATGCTAGACTTTTGGCCAGAAAATTTATTACACTGTATTCTCTTTGTAAAGAACTACTCTCCAAACAGGTCAGCTTTTATTTTTAGGTTTTCAGGTCATGAAATTGTTTTTCCTACCGAAGATTTATATTTTTGAAATTACTCTGTCAAGGTTAGTTATGAATAAAAAAACATTTTTCTCTTTATTAAAAATTGCATAACGAAAAGAATCTATATTATAGTAAGCAAATTAAAGTGGATGATGTTAAACATGAAGGATCATTATGATTGGGGACTGAGAGCTATCAAAAGTGTACTCGTGGTTGCAGGTTCGTTGAAGAGAGGGGACAAGGAAAGACCAGAAGACCAGGTTTCTATTCATCTCTTATTGCAGCATTGCAAAATTTGATATTTTAATATAAATGTAGGTGCTGATGCGAGCGCTGCGTGACTTCAACATTCCGAAGATCGTTACGGACGACATGCCTGTCTTCATGGGACTCATCGGAGATTTGTTTCCTGCTTTGGATGTTCCTCGCAAGAGGGATGATGTCCTCGAGAAGCAGATCAAAACCGCCATTTCTAATCTCAAGTTGCAGCCTGAAGATGGATTTATTTTGAAGGTTTATTTGGGTCAAAAATTATATCATGCAATTTTTAATCATTCAAATTTTGATCTAATTTTGAATAAAGTTTTCACTTTGTTAAGAAAATATATTTTCATTTAATGCTACATTGTTAATTGAACATTTTTCTCACTGAAATAAGGTATAGTTGCAGATATGAAATGGAAAATTATGATAACGTGAATCTTACAAAAATTAAAAATGCACTATTTGAAATACCCAGTAGTAAAATAATTTTGTATTAAGCACAGCATCCACAGATTTGTTGAAATGAAACCGAAAAATAATTAACATCCGATTTGCAACGGCGGTTCGAATCAAATATAAAACCAGAAAATGTTAAGAAATTAAGTGTAAAAAAAATTGTAAAAAAAATGTTAGTTTAAGTGTTTGAACGTTTGATTACATAAGGCGAGAAGAATAAAGCGACTAAAGGTTTAGTGCTGCAAACCTTAATAGTAAATTATAAATTTGAAAAAAAATTTTATTTAGGTTGTTCAATTGCAAGAATTATTTGAAGTTCGTCATTCAGTCTTCATTGTTGGAAATGCTGGAACTGGTTTATTTTAATTTTCTCGTTCTTTCAGTAAACTTTTTAAACAGTGCAATATTTTTTATTTCAATTTGCTCGCGTACGATAAATTAAAACTTCAACAAAAAATACTCGTTAATGTGTTTATATTTACTGAAATCAAATCGGTGAAAAAATATTATGCCAATCAGGAAAAAGTTGTGTATGGAAGACGTTGTATAAGGCTAATCAGAATATGAAGAAAAAACCAATTGCCGTAGATTTGAACCCTAAAGCAGTTACTAACAACGAGTTGTTTGGCATTATAAATCCTGCAACCAGAGAATGGAAAGATGGTTAAATAGATTACATTTCTTATCAATATTGCATGATTTTTTAACTTTATTTTTATTTTTTTTGTCATGAAACTTAAAAATTTATACGGTTAGTCCCTTAGTTTGAAATTTTTGTCTGAAACAAAACGAAGGCCTCTTTTCGTATGTGATGAGAGATCTGGCAAACAACTCTCACGATGGTCCCAAGTGGATCATACTGGATGGAGACATCGATCCAATGTGGATTGAATCCCTCAACACTGTCATGGATGATAACAAAGTTCGCGATTACTTTTTGTGTCTTTTCTGTTTAGTTGCAAATTTCAGTTCTTTCAACTTAAAAATATTCAAAATTCAAGGAAAAGTTATAAAATGCCGACTACAGATACAGAAATTCTAAACTTGTCCAATATTTTTCGATGTGACAAAATTTTTTTTGGTTTATCTTTGCTATATGAAATTTTTTGGAATTGGTAACCTATATTTCATTACTAGTAATGTAGTTATTTCTATTCTTCTTTGACATTAAAATGACTAATTCATCATTTAGTTTCATACTTAATCTATAATTATTAATTACTTTGCCGGCTTACTTGTTTGTCTATTTAATTATTTATTTACTTGTTTTATTCATTTGCAAAGTTTTTCTTTCTACGATATTGGCTACAATGCAGGAGATGAAATGAAGGATAATAATTTATCATTGTCTAAAAAATGATCAGCATAACTTTACTTTTTTTCGAAACGCACTTCAGGTGATTGACAGGAAGAACGGTTATTTTAGTGGTTTTTAGAGGCGCATTGAGCTGTCTGATAGTAAAAAAATTAATGGCAATTTAAAGATTGTAACATTTTAAAACAAGAACCATGCAAATATTTTTAAACATTCATACAAAGTGGAAAAACAAAGAATTAGTTACTATTGGCTGAATTGTCACAATTTTTTGTTTAAAAGTTTCACATTTGTGGGAAAGTGCTTTTTGGAGATTTAATTATCACAGTTGAAAGAGCGAGTTTTTATAACGCACGTAAAACTTTGCAATCAAATTTGTTTTCAACATTAACAAATATCAGTTAATGATTTGGAAAAAAATATTCCTATCTAATCAATTCATTTGAAAATTATTAAATAGGTATTGACACTGGCCAGCAACGAGCGCATCCCACTAACTCATTCCATGAGACTGCTCTTCGAAATAAGTCATCTCAAGTCAGCCACACCGGCCACTGTGTCGAGAGCTGGCATCCTCTACATCAATGCGGGCGATCTCGGATGGAATCCGTAAATTTTTAATTAGTTTTTCATAAGGACCTTTGGCCCATTTACTTTATTACATTGTAGTGTTATGTTTGTATGGAAATGAAAGGTAATTCATGTCGTGCAGCGATATGTCAAAGCTAAACTGAGTTATTTAGTTTTAAATTGTTTCTTGCTTAGGTAATCACAAATTTTACTGATTATAATTTTGAGTAGTTAGTTATAACTGACGTTATTTTAGGTTCATAAGCAGTTGGATCGAAACACGCCAGGCCCAGTCTGAAAAAGCCAATTTGACGATTCTTTTTGACAAGTATGTTCCTTCGTGTCTGGAAGCTATGCGGCTGAGGTTCAAAAAGATTATTCCCATCACTGACATCAGCCACTTGCAAATGTTGTGCTACCTGCTTGAGTGCATGCTCACACCTGAGAACACGCCTGCCGACTGTCCTAAGGAATGGTCAGATTCATTTAATTTTTAATAATTCTAGTAAAGCCGTTACGTTAAAAATCACCACTTTATAATATGTTATTATTGGGAAGGTACCAAAAAATTTTGAGTAGAAAACGCTCGTTATTAACGTTTGTTCATGGTTCGAAAAACTAATGTGTTTGATTTTTTAAAGGTACGAATTATACTTTGTGTTTTCTTGCATATGGGCTTTCGGGGGCTGCTTATTTCAAGATCAGGTAATAATTTTTGAAGATTTGTTTATTTCAAATATTTATCTTGAATTTTGTTTCTATAATCATTTTTTGTTTTAGCTGGTTGACCATCGAGTTGAGTTCACGAAATGGTGGGTCGGAGAGTTCAAAACCATCAAGTTCCCGGCACAAGGAACAGTTTTTGATTACTACATTGATCAGGAAACTAAAAAATTTGAATTATGGTCAAAAAAAGTGCCTAAGTTTGAATTGGATTCAGAAATTCCTTTACAGGTTTAGCTATTTCTGTTATGGCATTGTATAATTGATAACTTCAATTTAAATAATTTGGCAGCATTTTTTGTAATTAGATAGTTTAGAAAATTTATTTTTTTAAATTAATAATGTTTCACAGGCTACCATGGTGCATACATCTGAAACAACCCGAATTCGTTATTTTCTTGACCTTCTGCTTGATAAGCGACGGCCAGTCATGCTTGTTGGACATGCTGGCACCGGCAAAACTGTACTCATCAATGACAAAATTGTCAGTTTGAGTGAGGATTTTGTCGTTGCGAACGTTCCTTTCAACTTTTACACAACATCTGAAATGCTGCAACAGATTCTTGAAAAACCTTTAGAAAAGAAGGCAGGTAAGAATTATGGTCCTCCTGGAAACAAAAAACTCATTTATTTTATTGACGACATGAATATGCCAGAGGTTTGAAAATTGCTGTTAATATTTTTTCCACTTGAATTAATAAATTAATAAAAGTGTTAACTTGTCTTTATAAGAGAGATAGGTTTTCAACAGTGCAGCCGCACACCTTGATCCGACAACACTTGGACTACAATCACTGGTACGATCGTACTAAACTAACTCTTAAAGAGATTTCCAACACTCAATATGTGGCTTGCATGAATCAAGCTGCTGGCAACTTCACCATCGACACACGTCTTCAAAGACATTTTTCAGTTTTTGCTCTCAGTTTCCCCAGCCAGGAAGCATTGACGTCAATCTACACAAACATCATTCAACAACATTTGCTCGAGGTCGGATTCCCCGCAAGCGTGCAGAAACAATGCAACAATGTTGTTCAAGCATCTCTTTTGCTGCACCAGAGAATCACGCAAACATTCCAACTGACAGCCATAAAATTTCACTATATTTTCAACTTGAGAGATTTGTCTAACGTCTTCCAGGTTCTCTTTTGCTTTTAACAAATTTTCATTATAGGTGTATATAAAAACTCAGACGTGATATATTTAAAAATTTTGTTTATACTTTTTTTGTTTCCTCTATTAAGGGAATACTCTTTGCTGGATTGGAATGCTGTAAAGTCGCGAGTGATCTCGCGAGACTCTGGGTGCATGAATCACAAAGAACATACAGGGATAAACTTGTCAGCCATTCTGATCTTGAACTTTTTGACAAAATTATTGCTGAAGTTGTAAAAAAAATTTTTGAAGATTTAGATGAAGTAAGACATTTGTTATTTTATTTAAATTTTCACAGTTATTTTGTAAAGACAATGGTTCACATTGAAAATTTATTTGCGTTGTTCATAGTTAAAATGTATTTTTTCTCTGATAAAATCATTAGATGATTTTTTAGGAAAAAGTTTGTTCGCCACCAATTTTGTTCAAATTTTTAAATTCAAAATTAGCCGACTAAGTTTTTTAAAAATTCTGTTGGCTCAATTTTAATTTAACCAAATTTATACTTAAAATCGTTTTACATTTTATAGAATGCAATATTCAAAGAACCACTTCAGTTCTGTCACTTCGCCAGCGGTATCGGTGAGCCAAAATATCTTCCAGTTGTAAGCTCCGCGGATATCAGCAAAATACTTATCGATGCTCTTGAGAATTATAATGAAATCAATTCAGCAATGAACTTGGTCCTTTTTGACGATGCGATATCCCATGTCTTGAGGATCAATCGAATTACTGAGGCCCCACGCGGGAATGCTCTCCTGGTGGGAGTGGGTGGGAGTGGCAAGCAAAGTCTCTCCAAACTGGCTGCACACATCAGCGGTTATGAAGTCTTTCAAGTCTGTGCTTCTTCTTTTGGCTTTTTCTTCAAAAAGCGTTGATATAATTTTTTTAAAGTTTGCAGTTACATGGCTCATCTTTGTATTTAATAAATGGCTGAAAACTATTTAAACTGTTTAAAGAATGATGCATAGTGGTTTGATGCAATATAAGATATACATAAGTTTTTTAAAAACGTATAAGCTTTGTCTAAAAACAGCTGCGTTAAAATTTACCATTTCATTCCAACTCATTGAGCAATATCAATTTTGAGGTCTCGCGCAGCACACTACATATGTTTTTCAAAAAAAAATATAATTCATTCTTCAAAAAAAAATTAAATGTCTCTAAATTTACAATTGATAAATGTTTTTTATTAATACAAATTTTGTTCAACGTCTTCAGATAACATTGAAAAAAGGTTACGGTATTCCAGATTTGAAACAAGATCTGAATGGCTTGTACCAGAAGGCAGGCTTGAAAGGGCTAGGTATGGTGCTACTCATGACAGATGCTCACATCATTGATGAACGCTTTCTCGTTCTCATCAATGATTTGTTGGCTTCCGGGGAAATACCTGATTTATTTACTGAAGATGATTTGGATATTATCGTTACTGGCGTGCGGAATGATGTCAAGGAAATGGGTTTGTTTGATTCCAGAGAGAATTGCTGGAAATTCTTTATTGACAGAGTTCGTAGGCAGTTGAAGGTGAATCATGGTGTTAAATGTAGTGTAAATGTTAGTATTAACATTAACTTTCTGTGCACTTAACTGGTAACTACTAAAAATTATCAAAAACCAAATCAGAGAAACCGACTAATCGGTTTTATTTATTTATTCATTTTTAAATATTTATTAGACATTCAAATAATGGTTTTATTTATTATTTTCTTTTTTTTTTGATTGAATTGAAGTTAACGACTGTTTATAAGTTGAAAAAAATAAGTTTAAATGAGCCTGCACATTTTCACTATTGAATTTTTTCCACGGAATAATTAAAACAACACGCGCACGCGGCAGGTCATCCTGTGCTTCTCTCCGGTGGGCAACACCTTGCGAGTGAGGAGCAGAAATTTTCCCGCGTTAACCAACTGCACAAGTATCGATTGGTTTCATGAATGGCCTGAAGAGGCACTCATATCTGTCAGTCACAGATTTCTCAGTGAAATAGAACTGCTTGATGTAAGTTGAAAATTTATGAGGGATGTTTTTACATCGGTGTCTTAAGTTGTTGAGTAACAAAAATGAATTCATCTTTGAAATACATTTTGCAAAATTGGTTGACGAATAGTTTCTGCAATGTTTGTTTTTTCAGTTATGCTTTAATTAAAGTTTTATTCTCTTTTTTGACAAGTCTGGCATGCGCCAGTCGATATCACAATTTGTTGCATACGTACATCGATCTGTCAATCAAGTAAGTGAAATTTATCTGCAAAATGAACGACGCTACAACTACACCACACCAAAGAGCTTCCTTGAGCTGATACAATTGTACCAAAATCTTCTTGCAAAGAAACACGAAAACCTTCAGGTTTCAATTGTTTTTATACAACTATTTTGTAAATGATGTTATAATCAACAAGTTCATATTTTGATTATTGTCATTTTAGGCAAGTGTTTTGAGGTTAGAAACCGGTCTGGAAAAACTGAAAGGCAGTTCTAGTCAAGTGGAAAGTTTGAAATTGAAATTAGCTCAACAAAAACAAGAACTGGCCATCAAAGATGAACAAGCCAATAAACTGATCAATGTATGTTATTATTTAAATAATGTGTACAATATTTAAATTAGTTTTTATTTATTTGGTTCTGATTTAATTTTGTTTTAATATTTTTATGGTTGGTTAATTTTTAAATTTTTGGTTGAATCAAGCTATAATCTAAAATGTTCACAGGTTGTGGAAGCTGACACAATAAAAGTTTCGAAAGAGAAAAGTTTGGCCAGCGAAGAAGAAAAAAAAGTTCAAGTAATCAATGAAGAAGTTCAAAGAAGATTCAAGGAATGCCAAGAAGATCTTGCTAAAGCAGAACCTGCATTGATTGAAGCGAAGGAAGCTCTTGCTACACTCAACAAGGTTTCATTTACATTTATAACATTAAACTTTTATTGAAGGTCAAATAAGTTTAGTAAAAGTTTAAATATTAAATGATAATTTATTAAATTTTTTTATAGTATTGTTTTACAAATTTCGAACAGAGTAATTTATCAGAATTGAAAGGATTTGCAAAACCTGTTACCGCTGTGGTCAACGTGACGGCAGCTGTTATGGTGTTACTTGCTAATAAAACCAAAAAAATTCCGAAGGACAGAACTTGGAATGCAGCTAAAGTGATGATGGGAAAAGTAAGTCAAATTATAAAACTAACTTACCGACTTTTCATCTTTTAATAAAGTTCTTATGGCAATAATATTTTGGTTCTGTGGTACCTAATCAATATCATTTTGGATGAATTTTTATGAGCGGTAATTTTTTAAGTAGTTTGTTTAGTTCGTTAGTTTGTTGGTTGGTTGACTGGTTTGTTGTTTGGTTGATTGGTTGGTTGATTTACTGGTTAGTTGTCTGGTTGGTTGATTGGTTGATTGGTCGGTGGGTTGCTTGCTGGTTAGCTGGCTAATTTTAGTCGGTTGGTTCATTGGTTGTTTGTTCGTTGGTTGTTTGATACATTTGTTAAAGTACTGACTAGATGGATGACATGCTGTATGGTTGGTTGATTGGTTTGTTATTTATTAATTTTCAAAGATATAATTTCAATGATTGTTTTTGCCAAACTGAAAAAAAGGTCGATGATTTTTTGAATGCTTTACTGAACTATGAGAAAGAAAACATTCCAGATGTTTGCCGACAGGCAGTTCAACCTTATTTACAAAATCCTGAATTCAATGCTGAATCAATCAAACAAAAATCGGTTGCTGGTACGATTAAATATAATTTTTTATATTTTAAATATTTGTAAAATAATAATGATGGTCATAATTTTTTGTTTAATACTTCATTCAGCGGCCGGCCTATGCAAATGGGTGATAAATATCATGAAATACTACGCTGTATATTGTGACGTAGAACCAAAGAGGCAGGCGCTGAATCAGGCCACCCAAACTAGGCAGGCTGCTGAAGAACGTTTGCAGCACATTCAGAGTAAGATTGCCAGTCTCGAAGAAGCACTAAGCAAGTTGAAGGCCGAGTACGACCAGGCCACTGAAGCTCAAATCAAATGTAAACAGGAAGCCGATGCAACCAACAAGACGATCATACTGGCCAACAGATTGGTCAGCGGTCTGACTTCTGAAAACGACCGCTGGACAGAACAGGTTTGTTGTTTAACTACCACAACTTTTAAACTTTTGCATTTATTTTTCAAATTTTTCAATTTAAAATCACTTGTATATCTTTAAATTTTAAAAAATGTATAAACTTTTTTTATACTATTAACGCCTGTCTTGAGTGTGTTTCTTTTTAGGAATCTGGGTAATAAAACATTGCCAGCGTTTTCATTTGCAAAAGTTTACGCATTTTGTACACGTAACGTTCAACATATTTTTAACAATTAACTGCCGAACAAAACAGGTGAAACACTTTCGTCGGCAAGAAACAACGTTAGCTGGTGATATGTTGCTGGTGGCAGCATTCATTTCTTACATTGGATGTTTTACAAAGCAATACAGACTCATGCTCATTGAAAAGCATTGGATTCCTTTCTTAACTGATAAGCTGGAAGTGTCAATCCCATTTTCAGAGGGATTTGACCCTCTATCCCTGCTGACGGATGATGCTCAGGTGGCGTCGTGGAACAATTGCGGACTTCCGAGTGATCGTATGTCCACTGAAAATGCAGCCATTCTAATTAATTCTGAAAGGTTTTGTAATTTATAGTTTTTAATTATTATTTATTTATTTTATATTGATATTGGACTTTGATATTTTATATTGGACTCCTAACGTCCTCTTTTTTATGAAATTAATATCTTTGTCTTGCTACATATTATTTAATAAATTTGGAATAAATATTCTATTGAAGATGGCCATTAATAATTGATCCTCAACTGCAAGGACTGAAATGGATCAAAAGTCAATATAGTTCCTCTTTGGTTGCCGTCAGGTTAGGACAGAAAGGGTTTTTAGATCGCATCGAACAGGCTATATCTAATGGTGATACTGTACTCATTGAAAACATTGAAGAAAGTAAGCCGTTGTTACTGACATTAGTTTTTAAAATTGTATTTGCTATATATTTTGTTTAGATAAATTCTCCCTAATAAAATTTTCCTCACATTTTTTCTTTCTCCGTTTTTTTTATGTATTTATTCGTTTAATTATGTACTACTGCCTTGCATGCTGTAACAGTTTCTTCGTCTGTCAGATTCTGATTTTTAAAGATTAATAAAAAAAATAAAATTAAATAAAACCTATTCTGATAGCTTTAGATCCTGTCTTGGAGCCAGTGATTGCCCGCAACTTGATTAAAAAAGGCACAGCAATTCGATTTGGCGACAAAGAAGTTGAATACGACAAAGGATTCAGATTGATTTTGCACACAAAACTTGCTAATCCTCACTATAAACCTGAACTGCAAGCACAAACAACTCTAATAAATTTCACAGTCACAAGGGATGGTTTGGAAGACCAGTTGTTAGCCGATGTCGTTAGTAAAGAAAGATACGACCTTGAAAAATCAAAAGCTAGCTTGACCAAGTCACAAAACACATTCAAGATATCGCTGAAGGTTAATGTTTAAATGATTGAAACTATGCTAGTTTTACAGTGAAGAATTTTTTTATTTCAAATGAGCTTTTGTGAAAAAATATTTTTATATATTCTTTATAACTCAATTCAAACTTTTTTTGTAACTTATGTGAGTTTTTTAAGAAAAATTCTTATAATATTTTATTCTTCATAATGCAGCTCTGTCAAACGCAGAGTTGCTTACATATTATTCTGTATTTATAATGAAAACTGTTCCCACCACACGACGCACATACACACTATATATGCACGCGTATATTCGAAGACCACCATTCGCGTATGGTGGTCTTCGGATAGACATTATTTGAACCATGCCATCGCGTAATAGCAGCGCTAGACATGGCATTCCTACTGGCTGAGCTAACTCGGTGACCAAATGATTATGACAGTTATTTATCTTATTTACCTAGCTTAAATAGTACATTTAAATACTGGTGTTCTAATAACCTGTAAGCAAACTGCTCGATGTCATATATTTTATTTGGAACTATTGAACACGTTGATAGTTCTGGCGAACCGAAAATTCATTTAAGCCAAAAATATTTTTATTCTGTCAAATTTTTGCTGTCATCTTTGCCATACATTACATTTTAATCATGCAGATTTAATCATTTTATTAAACATTCGCGAAAAAAATATCTTTCAACTCCTATTTTCTCTAATTTTTCACTCAACATTTTGTTGTATATTGAACATTTATTGATTGCATCATGATTAAATTATTAATCGCCTGCTTTCTAGTTATGACGATCTTCATAATTTTTGTAAAAAAAAGTTGTAGTTGATTTTTAATTCATTGAAATTTTGCGCCTGAACCAGAATTTAGAAGATGAGTTATTAGCCCGTCTGTCAACAGCTGAAGCCAATTTTTTGGGTGATTATGCCCTGGTAGAAAACCTTGAGAAGACGAAGAGCATGTCCTCAGACATCGAGCTGAAAGTAGCAGAGGCAAAAGTCACAGAAAGTCGAATAAACGAAGCGAGAGAGGCGTACAGGAAGGCAGCCACCCGAGCATCCCTGCTGTATTTTATATTGAATGATCTCAATAAGATACATCCGATGTATCAGTTCTCACTCAAAGTCAGTCCGCTGTTTCAAACGTAGTGTTTTTTTCAGAACTTACCTGTTAAACTATATTTTCAAAAATATTAACATTTTGCTGTTAATATGTGATGTTTGACATGTTAATATCCGACATTTGTCTTTTTCTGACGCTGATTTAATTTATTTATGTTAAAACGTAATCAATTGTGCGAAGGCTTTCAGCATTGTATTTGAGAAAGCCATTGACAGAGCGGAACCAGCTGAAGAGACTCCACAAAGAGTTCAAAACCTTATTGATTGCATAACCTACTCTGTCTTCATTTACACATCAAGAGGTCTCTTTGAACGAGACAAGTTAACGTTCATGGCTCAAACTGCTTTCCAGGTGTTTTACTTTGCAGTGTTTTATGTTTTTATTTGTTTTTATTTCATGGTTCTTGAAAAATTTAGAGTTTTGAATATTATCAAAATTTATAACCAGCTTAAAATAATAACCAATGGATAAACGAATCTACAAACAGATATTGAATATGAATCAAGACATTGATCCTCAAGAATTAGATTTCCTACTGAGGTTGCCAGCCTTACCTAATGTTGTTTCTCCGGTTGATTTCCTTAACAACCAGTGCTGGGGAGCTGTTAAGGTGCATGTTGTTCAGTTTTGCCTATTTGTATTTTATATTTTCACTTCATCATTATCTTTATAATAAAAAATCGCTGACAGGCACTGGCTTTATTAGACGAATTCAACAATTTGGACAGAGATATCGAAGGATCGACCAAAAGGTGGCACGTCGCTATCATTGTTAACAGTTTTTTTTAAATTTTGTAACAGAAATTTTATTTGAAAGGTGGAAAAAATTTGTGGAGAGTGAATATCCAGAAAAAGAGAAGTTTCCACAGGAATGGAAAAACAAATCTTCGTTACAAAGAATGTGCATGTTGAGGTGTTTAAGGCCAGACCGAATGACGTACGCTGTCAAGTAAGAGTTTCCTTTCTTGCTAGTAATGTTTAACTAATGTTTGCATTATTTTATCATAACGGCTTAAATATCTTTACTGAAATATATATTTGAATTTTTAATTATTCTTTGTTACATTCGTATCGTTTTGCAGGCTTTTTGTTGAAGAGAAATTGGGTTCAAAGTTTGTAGAAACTCGCAGTTTAGATTTTTCGAAATCTTTTGAAGAGTCAGGATCAGGAACACCAGTCATGTTCATTCTTTCTCCCGGAGTTGATCCTCTAAAAGATGTTGAAACGCTAGGAGTTAAGTTGGGATTTTCAGTGGATAAATCAAATTTTCATAACATTTCACTTGGCCAAGGACAAGAAGTAGTTGCTGAAGATGCGATGGAGAAGGCTTCGAAATCTGGACATTGGGTCGTGCTACAGGTTGTTTTTGTAACACTCTCTTGTCAAAAGTTTGATCTAATAAGTTAAATGAAATGTAAGTACAGTAACAAATCAACAATTAGATATTAAGTCCGATGTATGGTTCATTCCTAATTTATATTCTCTTCAGAACATCCATCTAGTTTCAAGATGGCTACCAGCATTAGAGAAATTGTTAGAGCAATATAGTTTGGAAAGCCATGCTGATTTCAGAGTTTTCATAAGTGCTGAACCAGCTCCGACCAAAGAATCGCACATAATTCCTCAGGGAATTCTTGAAGCAGCCATAAAAATTACCAACGAGCCACCTACCGGCATGTTTGCTAATCTTCACAAAGCACTTGATAATTTTTCCCAAGTAAACACTTTCATTTGGTTCTTAAACTTCCTTCTCTGCTTATACGTAATTCAAATATATATATATATATATATATATATATATATATATATATATATATATATATATATATATATATATTTATTTATTTTTATCGAAATTAACAAAACTTTTATTTTCAAATTCTCATTTCGTTAACATTGACATTCTCATGCATGCCGATGAATAAGAATGAATTGTTAAAGTAGAGTTTGATTTAAAACAGGACACGTTGGAGATGTGTGCCAGAGAAGCGGAATTTAAGAGCATCTTATTTTCTCTCTGTTATTTTCACGCTGTAGTCAGTGAACGTAGAAAGTTTGGCCCACAAGGTTGGAATCGCATTTACCCATTCAACACTGGAGATCTTACTATAAGCATCAACGTGCTTTTCAATTATCTCGAAGCCAATGCTAAAGTACCGTGGGAAGATTTGAGGTTTGTTTATTTTTATTACATCGATTACATTCAAAAATTGTATCTCGAGTAGGGATCCACAGTTTTGAATTGCACGTACATATTGTTTTACTCGGTTGTTTGTATATGATCGCCAATTTTGAACGTAATAAATTTTGGCTGAGATGAAAATATCTGATGACGCGCGTTGATTGGGAACGAGGAACATCTGATCAAGACTTCGGCAAAGTTACATTTTTTTATCTCTGGTATTTTTGGTTTTGGTCTTTTCAAGTTGCGAAACTTTTTTAACTTTGGCTGCTTTCAAAATTTATTTATTCCGCTAAGTGGAGCTCATAAGTTTGGATATTTTATGACTTTTTATTCAATAAATTTTGCCAATTCTTTTTTTTAAATTTTATACGTTCATTTTCTTTTTTTATTTGTCTGACTATTTAATTTAAAGAAATTTTCCAATGTAAACCACGTACAGGTATTTGTTTGGCGAAATAATGTACGGAGGCCATATAACAGATGATTGGGATAGAAGACTTTGCAAGACATATCTGGAAGAGTACATGAATCCCTCATTGGTATCGTAAACAATTTCTATGCTCAGCTTAAATTTAAAAAATTATTTATAGTAGTCTTTCAAAAACAATTTTAGCTTGATGGAGAAATGAATTTTGCACCTGGATTTCCGGTACCGCCAAATACTGATTACCGCGGTTACCATTCATTTATAACGGAGTGTCTTCCTTCGGAAAGTCCTCATCTTTATGGATTGCATCCTAATTCCGAAATTGAATTTCTTACCATGACCTCTGAAAATCTTTTTAGAACTGTATTGGAAATGCAACCTCGAGATTCTGGAATGGCTAATCCTTTAGGATTAACCAGGGAAGATAAAGTAAAAAAATTTGTTTTTTCATTTTAATTAAACGTAAAAATTGAAATTAATATTAAAAAATGCTTCTGCTAACGTTTTTCATAATTTTTCGAATAATTTTTCAAAAATCTCATTTGTTCTTAAATTACAAATTAATAATCTGTTTTTTTTTATATATAAAAATATGTGCAGATTAAAAACGTGTTGGATGAGATATTAGAAAAAATTCCTGAGGAGTTTGTTATGTATGATTTGATTGCCAAATTGCCACCGGAAGATCGAACGCCCTACGTAACAGTGGCCTTCCAGGAATGCGAACGAATGAATTTGTTGACTCTAGAAATTAAAAGATCCTTAAAAGAACTTGATCTTGGTCTCAAAGTTTGTATCCATGAAATATTTTATATTTGATTTTCACTGATAGATTCTGTTTATTTTTTTATAACAAAAGATATTTTTTTGTAAATCAGGGCGAGTTGACAATAACAGCAGACATGGAATTATTGGGCAATGCATTGTTCCTTGACATGGTTCCGGATAGTTGGATTCATCTCGCTTACCCGTCTCTTTATGGATTGGCTCAATGGCATGCTGATCTTGTTAGTCGAATCAAAGAACTTGAAAGTTGGGTATCTGACTTTCAGCTTCCTTCATCAGTTTGGTTGGGTGGTTTTTTTAATCCTCAGTCATTTCTCACTGCCATTATGCAGCAGATGGCTCGAAAAAATGAATGGCCTCTCGACAAAATGTGTTTACAATGTGATGTGACTAAAAAAAATAAGGTGTTCATTCTTTTACTACATTATGTTTGTTTAGATTTGATGCAATTGAATATATTTAAAATGTTTGTTCTTGTATTTTTCATTGTTTTAACAATTTTGTATGGCCTAATAACTTTGTATTTAATAATACAAGTCTCTCAATGGATAAAACTTATTTTGGTTCATCCATATATATTTACTTACAACACCAGGAAGACATGGGCGCACCACCACGCGAGGGTTCGTATGTTCACGGATTGTACATGGAAGGAGCACGCTGGGATGTTCAGACGGGTTTAATAGCGGAGGCTCGTCTCAAAGAACTGGCGCCTATGATGCCTGTCATTTTTATCAAAGCTATACCAGTTGATAGGCAAGATCTGAGAAATATCTACGAGTGCCCCACTTATAAGACCAAACAAAGAGGTAATACTTTCGTCTGGACATTCAACTTAAAATCAAAAGAAAAACCAGCAAAGTGGATATTAGCGGGAGTTGCACTAACATTGCAGGTTATATTTTCTTTCTTTTGGTTTATATTTAGGAAATTCGAATACAAACGAAAAGAAAAATAAGTGAAATATCAAATCTTTAACAGTAAAAACTCTTATTAACTTATTAATTTTTGCCTACATCAACATAATAATATACCCCACACACTTTAAATATTTGATTATTCCGTGCTACAGATTCGGTCTTCTGCTTATTAATTTTATTTTTATAAAAAGGTAAAAAAAAGTAAGTTTTATGAAAATAATTATATTTGCTTGTTTGTGGTTAATTTATATTCTTTGAACCGTTTTTCGTAGCTGTATTAATAACTTTTTTATTAATTTTATTCTAGGTTTAAAAGAATTGCGTCAACTATGGACAGTGCATAAAATAATCGATGGAATCAAGCTTTATATTATTCACCACTTCTTGTACTATAAACTTTACTCACCATATGTACTACAAAAACTTTTCAATTTAATTTAAAAAAAAACAACAAAATGTAGATGATGCAGAAAACTAATAATGTATTTTTACATATATTATTGAAACGTGGTGTTAGGACATTTTTTGCAATGACTAAGTTTAGTCATTCATACAATCATACAAAACCATATAAAACGAACTTATAAATGCTACCTTCTTTTCGATTGTGTATAAACGATTTCAGAAAAGTTCATTTTTGTAATTTTTATTCAGATCTCGTTTAAACGCATCCAGCAATCGTATAGCATAATCATGTGTATATATCCATGATATCAAATCAACTACAGGCTACAAACAAACAGCGTGTATGAATTCGTGTTGAACGACGCGTCACACAAGCTTGCGGGGATCTTTATTTCGTTTTCGAACTTTTTTAGCCGTTAGGCCATTTCACCACCAAAAACCATGCATACCACCGAATTACAGAGGATTTGAGTTAAAGTAATTGATCTAAATAATCTGGAAGCGTTTGTGTTATTATATTAGATATGTCAGCTATAGTCAATCGACTAAGCCTGTACCGCCTAGAATTTTCCTGCGTCATTCAATCAAGCAATCAATATGTTTCTAAAAAGCCATTTCCGCGATGTTCAAAAGCGCTCCTCAATGAATTTTGCAAACAGATGCGCTCTGAACTTCATAAATAATGGAAAAATAGTTAGAGAAGAAGTTAGAGAGTTTCAGAGAAAGGTGTCAAAAAAGCAACAGCAGAATTAGTGTTATTATTTAACAAAAAATACGAAAAAGTGAGAGCGAAAAGACTGATCGTAAACCGGGCTTTTATGTTTAAGTACTTAGAAAATAATGTGTGTATGATTTTCGCTTACAGTGAATGAGTGAAGTTTTAATGAACAAGAAGTGTCTACAAGAAAGGGAAGGGGGTAGTTGTTTCCAGTTTGAGTAAGGAGAGAATGAATTCTCTCCGCTACTTTTTAAACAATGATTAAAAATGAGGTAATTTTATTTTTCATCGAGAAGCCATTTTTTCTGGAAAACCATTAGTAAGTAAATTAATTTAATTATAAATTAATTTAATTATAAGAAATGCCGATTCATTTGGGATAACGATTTTGTTAAGAATTCATGTTATTTGTCGCATCACATGGCATTCGTTTTACACGGCGTCAACATTATATGGTGCTAGCAGCCAGGCCAGCACTAAAAATAATTTAGTTTGAAAGACAAGGTGCAAAATATATATATATATATATTATGTATGGATCTATATATGATATATATAGATCCATACATAAACAAATATATGTATATTACACGAATATATATGTATACATTTTATATAATGACCTACCAGAGTTAGAATACTACACCATTATGGTGTGATTCAGCACACGCACATGCACACAGACATCGGTGACATGACATATGAATGATCTAGCAGCATACAAATGAATATATATTGTTTTTATATAATTGTACGCTGCAGTGCTATACGTATTGCATATATCTTATATATATTTATATAATATACAATTATACACATATACTTAAATAAATGTATATATATATATATAATTATATATATATAATATTCTTGTCACATTTATCAAATGACTGTTATCCGGAATTCTGAGAAATTTTTGAAATTATCATTTGTTTTAAAAGGCAGTTTATTTTATTTTAATATTTTTAATTAATTAAATTTGTCAGTTTTAATTTTATTAATAAATAAATAGTGCTTTTTTCGTAATGTCCGCCAAAACTGTAACATTGTCAAAGGAAGAGATTGAGGAAATCACGACAGCCTTCCAAGCTGTAAGTTTTCTTTTTTATTTTCATTACAATTTTATTAAATTTAATTTTTTTATATAACACTTTAAAACATTTCATTCCTTGTGAACATTTTATGATTTCATTGATTACGAACTCAATGTTTAATTTTTGCAAGATTGCATTTATTATTTTTAAATAATTAAATTAATTTGATGTTTTATCAACAACCTTTTTTGTATTTGAAATTATGAGATTTACTTTAAATTTTTGCCCCTGTGATTTTGATTTTTTAAGACTACATAAACTTTTGTAGAGGGCAATGCTTTGGCTGTGCAATGTAAAATTTATTAAATTTAAATTTTCAAATTAATAGTTTTGTTAATTATACAACAATAGGTTGATATAAATGGGGATGGTTCCATAAAGGCTTCAGAGTTACAAGAAGTTTTGAATGCAGTTAACATAAAATTGCCAGGTTACAAAGTTAGGCAACTTATCGAAAAACATGATACTATTATTAGAGATGATCAGTTAAATTTTGAAGAATTCAAAAAGGTTTGTTTGTTTGAAATAAGTTGCAGTTAGCTGCTTTTCATTTACAAAATTGTAATTCGGTTTGAAATTATTTTAGCTATATGCAGAATTGAAGCATGATTTTGATTTTTCTTCCAAACTTCCTGCGTTGGTTAAAAAGTCTGGCATAACAACATTTGGAGGCATGTCCCAGACATCAGCTGAAGGGACAACACACACTGTCAGAAATGAAGAACAAGTTGCATTTGCCAATTGGATCAATAAGTTAGTATGGAGTTCATTTGATTTGAAAATTTGTATGAATTGAAATATTTTAATTCAAGTTTATTTATTTTGTTTGCTGTTAGCTTTGGTTTATTTTATTTTTTAATGGTTCCAATTTTGGAAATATCTTTATTGGCTTGTTTGGTTACGTAAGAGTTAGTTTAGAGAAGTTGTTTGAAAACACTTGCTCTTGTTTTGTCATGCGTATGCTTATCAACATTTTGCAGTAATGCCAACATTTAAAAAAAATTTTAGGAATTTTGGAGAAGATCCTGAATGTAAAAAGTACCTACCAATTAATCCAGATAATAATGAGTTGTTTACAAAGTGTAATGATGGTGTCCTTTATTGGTTAGTCAAAATATTTTTCCTAAATTTTTTATTGAAATTTCTACTGCATAATTTTTAGCAGCATATAATAATAATAAATTAATTATTCAAATCATATTTAATGTATTTGGTTCATTGGAATACTCTTTATAAGGAAAATTAAACAATTTAATTTGTTTTCAAACAACTGTTATCTCCAACAGATTGCTGTTGTTATTTATAATTTTATATATAGCATTATTTGTAATTTGTTTTCTCAAATGTTTTTAAATGTTTATTATTTTTAGCTTTTAGCAGTCTGCTTCTTTCAATGTAATGTTTCTACTTCAATTAGCAATTAGTCTTGCTATTATAGTGCTAGCTAAGTTAATATTTCATGATAATTTTGTTCACTTTTGTGTTATGCTGTATATCATATTATGGGTATATTCACATGTACAATATTCATCACTTTATTTGCGCATGCCAGATTGATTTTCATAAAATTGAATGATTAAATACAAATTTTACTTTCAAAAGTTTGAAGAAAGGAATCTACTCAGCAATGAAATGCTAAAGCGTAACTATAAATTTTCAAATAACGTAAAACAAACGTACCATTTACGGCCAATAAATAAAAAAGCTGGCATACTTAGAGGCAATAAATCTGACAAGATTAAAATTTGAAAACAGAAATATGCAGATATAGAGTATTTTAATATAACCGAAACGCGGCAAACTTCAAAAAAGCGCAAGCTTAAAAACAATAAAAATTAAAAAATAAAATCGTATATCAGTGAAGATGCACCTGAAATCAATCTCCACACCGCGCCTGTCTCTCGTGTCCAGCCCAAACATTGGAGGCTATGGCTGAGCGAAACTTATCACTGATCAAAATTTTCTATGCTTTTCAAAAGTTATTGAAAAACCTTGGTAGAACTTGGTAGAAAAGTTATTATTCTCTGGTTAGCATAGAAGTTTAGTCAGTCTTTATAATCTTGAATTCCTAACTTGAAAATTATCGTTGAGTAGCCCAGAGCGATATTTCGTTGTAAGTTATTTCAAGATTTCGACGAATTACTTTTCAAACGTTTGAATTAAGAAAGTCATTTCTTATGCTTTTAGTAATTGAAAGAGTTTGTTTAGTTGGGTGATTTGATGCTGCTTATAAAAAAAACTTACTTGAGCATGCAGGTTAAGTACGATGAACACCCGTCATGTTTATTTATAAAGTAGTCATTCACGGTGGTTATGATAGCAATGATGACGACAATGATGATGATAGTTACAAATTCTTTCTTGAAATAGCTGACACCAGTAGCTCACTTATTCACATAATTAGCAGCCTGCAGTTTGTGAGTGTTGTAGTTTATTATTAGTGAGGTCTCCTTTCAAGCTCTAGGCATAGTTGATAGATGTGCTAGTGGTTTTGGTTTTGTTTATTATGATCACCATCATCATCTTAGCTCATTTTAATTACTTCATGATGATCACACCTCGCATCCTTATTCCTGTAGATAATTAGCGAAAAATATCGGTTAACGCGTTATATCTACTATATATTTATATATACAAGACATACAGTCTCCGCATATTCAACTTCATAACTTTTATTCACTTATTTGATATGTTGTTGATTATGAATAAACTTTGAAAATGAATGAAAAATGTTTGTGTTTATATATGTAATTCATACAAATACTTTTAGAAAAGTTTTCATTTTACCGGATTCACAGTTGGCTACACTACACCACACCACGCCATATATTTAATCTGTTAAATTGTTTTTAAATTATAGCTGCAATCGTCCTTATTTACTGATGCCATTATATCTTTGACCAACTGAGAACTGCTCCATGAATAAGGTAACCTTCCATACCTACAGAGCTTCAGTGCCACAGAGGTTGTATGTACATCTGCACCACACAGCGTACACACGCATTGGTACGTACACTTAAGCAACACATCACATGACGTATGACAGTTTTTTTAGTTTCAGACTGCATTTGAAACAGGTCATCTCGCAATGGCAACGAACGGCGCGTGACATGACGCTTACACCGTCTTAGCTAACTTGCCTAATCATCCCATCAATACCATCAGCAATATCGATTTCTATATTTGTTTCGCCAATTTCGCCATTTTAACGATCCATATAATTTTATTCGGTTTAATTTATTATCCTCGCCAGTATTAAAAAACAACGTTATCATTATAATCTAAGCGTCATCACCAAACAACCAAAGCATCATCACCAAAGCCTCAGCACTATTGAGTTAATCATTATTAGTCAGATTGGTAGGATTGAGTTTATCGTTGCGTACAGGTAACATTATAATAAAATTGAGTCTTAATTGCACCGTATCAAACACCACCTTTTGTTTTTAAACCTCAAAAATTTAAAAATGAGATGTTTTTAAGCACAATCCACAACAATAAGTTTGTATTTAGAAGTTTATTATGCGTTCCATTCCATTAGTAATCAGTGATTTCTAATTTAATAGTACCTTAATTGTGCTGCTGGTCGGTACTGCAACGTTGTTGCTGTCTCTTGCGGTTGCCATATGATATGAATGACGTTGTGTTTCACTGCGTTAGATTCAACGAGTTTCATTAAATCATAGTTTGTTCTGTAGCAAAGGCATTAAATAATTATAATGGCTAGACTGATGACTAATGAGGATGATTTCAATTTTGTTCATTTCATGACCATCACTGCTTGTTTCTTTGTTCATGCGTTATTTTATTTATGTGTAATTATTTAAAACGTGATATCATTATATTGATTTTCTCCAAACTATTCTTTGTTAGTTCTTTAAATTTGTTTAGCTGCATAGATGGGAATGACGATGACTACGATTTACTTCTGAATATACACCGTGCTATGTATGCAAATTTTATGCAATTGTGTAGCTGGTTGCACGTTGTTGTCTGTTCTAGTGTTTTGTTACGAGGTTCTTACGTGATTCATTTGTTTGTTCGCCTTATCATGCTTGTAAGCGTCATGGAGATTGTTTGCATTCTCTACACAGAATGAACGCCTAATGTATACTACTCTCAATGCGCCGGACACACGTTTTTATTTACTCAGAGAGCCGTGTAATCATACGTCATATACACGTCAAATGTTGATGTCGATTCGTTTTGAACCTGTCGTGAAATGTTTATTTCAAACGAGGCTCTTGAAAACCATCTGAATTAATTTGCTGATTTATTTATTACAACCACTTCTGTCGATTGCATTAAATTAGTTGAGTGGCTTGTTGACGATTTGTTTATCAATCATAAGCGTTGAGGGTTCTATTTCAAATTATCTCTTCATTCAAGTTTCTGGGTGATTTTTAGAAACACTTTTTGAACAAGTTCCAAAAGTAGTTTGATGATTAAATTAACTAAACTCTAATTACGAATATTTTTTTGATGAGTTCGATTTATCACCACGGGAGGTAAAAAATTATATTTTCCACAGGATTCACATAAAAAATGCTTCTTCTCAAATGGACTATTTTGAACGCAACCATTTTAAAATATTGTGAACAATTTTGATAGTACGAAAATTAACTTGCCAACTGACAGCAAACTTGTGAACAATTCCCAACCGGGCACAGTTGACGAGCGCACCATCAACAGAGCTGCCAAGTTGAGCATCTACCAGATACACGAGAATTTAAATCTGGCTTTGAACTCTGCGTCATCTATTGGATGCAACATTATAAACATTGGCCCAGATGACCTCTACGCTGGCAAACCTCACTTGGTCCTTGGCCTGCTCTGGCAGATTATTAGAGTAGGTTCTTATATTTTATTACTTTGATTATTTTTTAAACGAGTGGGTTGAAAATGTCAAATACATAACTTGTTACCAACATAATCAACATTGGTTAGAACTCTTTTGTAGTGATAGATGTTAATTTTAATGTTAATAACGAACAGTACGGCTTGTTGGCGAACATTGACCTGCACAACCACCCAGGCCTGGCAGCTCTGCTACTTGATGGAGAAAGTTTGGAGGACTTCATGAAGTTGTCTCCTGAGCAGATCCTCATCAGATGGGTCAACTATCACCTTGCAAGGTGTTTGTCTCTTCATTCTCTCCTCATTATGACAATGCGCGTTACGCGTTTTTTTTCATTGAAATCAATCACTTCATACAAAATTTTCATTTCTCACAATCGAATTGTCCAGTAAACATTTCTAAGCATTGATGAGCGAGCATCGACAAACGATGTAAACAGTAGACAGACATCCGCATCATTTACATTTTTTTAGTCTAAAAATTTATCAGCCGATACATAAGAAATAATGACGATGACACAATATGAACGTGTCACAATTATAGCGTGATGTGTTTAAATTTGCGTGTGTATATTTGAATAGTGTTAAACATTTACTCAGATCAAACTGTGGTCGACAAATAGCAAACTTGACGGGCGACATAAAGGACTCGGTGGCCTACATTCACCTCCTCCATCAAATTGCACCCCCTGATTCTGGCATCACCACTCACGCTGAACATGTTGGTTATTTCATGAAGATTCATATATTTTCTAGTTTGAGTCTTACCACACCAATATACGAAACTGTTTCTTGTTTAAAATTTTTAACTAACTAATGAAGTTTTGATATGAAAAATGTGGTTGCGATAGTAACGTATGTTTTTATCTTTAATGTCTACTTATTGCAATGTTAAACCATATTTAATCTTTCAAATCATGTACAAATTAATTTCAGTTGACTGAGCTTTATACACAACTGCTGTTGCACTTCATTCAAATCATGTCTATTCAGGCTAATTCTGTCATGTTAATTCATTGTAATGTATTTTACATCATTTGTTGCAATCGGTCAGCTTTTTTTCAATTTTATGATGGAACATATTTTTTTTTCATCACTTCAACAATTGCCAACAACCGCCAGGAACATGACCTGCACCAGAGAGCAGAACGAATGTTGCAGGAAGCAGAGAAGATTCAATGCAGAGCCTTTGTGTCCCCCGATGATGTTGTCAGAGGTAACTACAAATTAAACTTGGCGTTCGTCGCTAACCTCTTCAACATGTATCCTGCACTGGATCAGGCACCAAACATCGACCTCAGTGAAATTCACCCGGAGACCAGGGAAGAAAAAAGTCTGTAATGCAATGATGGAATGATTGGTGCTTCATGATGTTGGATGTGAAATAAAACGTGGGGCCACTCATTCCAGAGTATCTTATGTTTGTTTTCAAATAAGATAGACCACTAGTATGATTTTGATAGAATGATTGATTGGTTGTTTTGTCTAAATTTATAATTGATCTTTTATGATTATTAAATTATAATGATAGGTATTGATAAATAACTTAATCAGATCTTTGATTATCTGTCGAATTGAAATTTGTTGTTATCCAATTTTTATATAGAAATTTATAGGAAAAAACTCTTGATTAAAAACCAATAAAAAGAAAGGCTTAGGTATTTTATTAAAAACAAATTAATCAAAATTTATAACTTGCGTATTATAAGTTAAGAAATAACGTTTGGTCCAAGGAATGAAATTTAGATGTCAAGTTAATTAATTAAGAATTAATTAATTAATTATTTTCTCGGTTTATAACAAGTTTTTTAAGATTGATATTCAATGTTGCCTGCTCAGTGTATCGCAACTGGATGAACAGCATCGGAGTGTCCCCATACGTCAGCAGGATATACAGCGACCTGACGGATGGCCTCATCATCTTCCAACTTTATGACATCATCAAATCAGGAACTGTCAACTGGAATAAAGTCATCAAGAAGTTCAACAAGATGAAAGCCATGATGGAGAAGATAGGTTGCTAGTTTTTTTTTTTTTTAACGACAATTGCTAATTGCAGTTCGGTTTAAGGTTTGCGTCCATATATGAATAAAAAATTGTAAATAATTATAAAATAAATTTGAAGAAAATTGTAATTACGCCGTGGAGTTGGGCAGGGAGTGCAAGTTCTCTCTGGTGGGCATTGATGGGAAAAACATTTACGACGGCAATGAGACTCTCACCTTGGGTTCGTTTATTAATTTGTTTGTTGGTTCCTTTGCACAGTCTGTTTCGCTTGATGTTTGCTTGAGAGGACATTGTTATAACTTCGTACATTTAAATATCTAGTCGCATGGATTGGTTTTCACTGTTCACGATCATTTAGTCAACAGTGTTAAAGACGGTGAGACGTTTTCATTCCACTGGCGCCAGTCAGATGTTTCTAAGCAACATCATTAATTAAGATAGCGCTTATCCATGTATAGAGAATACTAGTTCTATACGTCTATGATTCATTTGTATCTTTACGATATCATTGGAATCGAGTATAGTGAATAAAATATAATTGCAATAAAATATATTCTACATAAATTATAATTTATATAAATTTGAAATTTAATTAAAAATGCTAAATGTATTTTATGTTGTAAAGTTATTCCTCTGTAAATGACTCAATTATTATTTCAATTGAAAATAAACTTCAGCACTCATTTAAGAGAATATGTGTTACATCGGTTATGTTACATGTTACCTACAATCATATTCATGTCTGTCAAATGTGCAATACGCTTGCATAAGCCAGTCGTTTACCATAAAAAATGTGTTTATTGTATCTTGCTGGTTTCTTGGCAGCCCTGGTGTGGCAGTTGATGAAAGCTTACACCTTGAGTATGCTGACGACACTGGCTGGTACTGGCCATCCCGTTTTGGAGAGTGAGATTGTCACGTGGGTCAACAATAAGGTCGGTAGGCTCTGTGTGTGTGTGTGTGTGTGTGTGTGTGTGTGTGTGTGTGTGTGTGTGTGTGTGTGTGTGTGTGTGTGCGCGTGTGTGCGTGTGTGTTGTATTAGGTGTGTTATTTATTTGTCTGGTTTTCGGTTTTCGTCCGTTGTTGTATTTTATGATGAGAGGAGAGTAAGAGAAGCAGTAGAGAGATGCTGGTGGCTAGTTGATGGCTAGTTTGATGTATCGGATTTGATCTCGGATTTGATCCACGCATTTTAATTGATAGACATATTGTAATTTTTTTGAACAACTTATTTTAAATATTCAACTTATCTTTTAATTTGCTCTCATGTTTCATATTATCTAATTACTTAATATTAAAATTACACTTAAAGATTACAAAAAAATGACGAAAAAGTGTAACAATTGCCAATTATTAATTATGTCAGAAAGTTGCACAGCTTGATGTTATGCACGTGTGGTAATATTCTAAAAGGTCCGGTGAAAAAGTTGAAAGAATGGGTTTGATTTAATTTGAAGGAAGTTTTTCTATATTGATGGTCGATATTGAAGATGATTGAGATGATGAAAAAACGTTGTTATATCGTAGTTATTATGGGTAGGACATGTGACTAGAAAGACAGTTAAGATATAATTGTAATAGTGCGCCTGACCGCATCATCTGATTGTACCGTTCAGTTGCAGGGAGCAGGCAAGTCGAGGAGAATAACAGGTTTCAACGACCCCACCATCTCGTCTGGACGTGTCGTCCTTGACCTTGTGGACGCCTGCAAGCCGGGCAGCATAAATTACGATCTCGTCAAACAGGGAGATAGTGAAGAAGTGAGGCGGCGGTGGTGGTGCCGTTGTCTACGCTTGTAGTGGTGGTTGTGGTAGTGGTGGTGGTGGTGTGTTTTTCAAAGCAACGCGCTAATTTTTTGATGAAATTTTTAGATGATGTTGTTAAAGATGTTGATTGATGCTTATGGTGATAGCGATAGACGCGTTGAGTTTCAGTAGATGATGATAGTTAGACATATTGTTAAATTGGATGATGAGATTTTGGCTGGTTTCAATTAACCACGAATTAACAACTGCATCACTGTGACTGTTACATATTTCATATTTACATTCCTCATGCTAACTAAATTGCTATGAAAGTATTATTGAAAACACTTCGCAGGAGAAACTGTCGAACGCGCAGTACGCCATATCAGCCGCTCGTAAGATCGGAGCTCGCGTTTACGCACTTCCTGAAGACATCGTCGAAGTGAAGTCCAAGATGGTCCTCACGATATTTGCGTGCCTCATGATTAGAGATTACCAACCAGCACAAAAACGTTGATGTGATGTGATGTAACGTGTTGTAACTTGATGTCATGTAATGTAGGTTGATGTGACGATTTGCAAATGATTTTATATTTTTACGTTATTGTTCTGTGTTGGATGATTTCATTTCATTGTGCATCGTGATTCATGATAAAATATGCCTCCACTTGAATCTGTCGCATATGTACCATTCTGATGCTTCTTTTTATGTTTATTCCTACGCTTAATTTCTTTAAGTTTAACTTTATTTTGAAAGATGCATTTTGCAGATTTTTTGTATACAATGAAGAAGTTTTAACAAAATTATATTGCATTTTAATTATGATTTTTGACTGTGTTTATCGTGTTATAGTGTTTACATAGAAGATGCCACTATTATTTAGATATTAAATATCTGGTGTCCATATTTCTAAGCATGCAAATTATTTCAACGTAACGTTGCCTAACTTGACATCTCCATTCAATGTGGCCTCTAACATTTTTGCTCTCAAGTTGGATATTAATTAACCAGTGATCATTTTTACAACTTAAGTAGCATCGTAGTTGAATTGTAGTTGATTGCTGGCCCAACTTTACACTGATTGGTCCGCGTCGAAACCTTGTTTGCTCGTGTTTCAAAACAGTTGAACGTCTCAGTGTTACATTGTACTACAAAAATATGTTTTTGCTATCATTCAAGTAAAAGCATTAAAAATGTCTCAAAAATTACTTTTAATTGATATTCAATTGATATGATGATGTCTCTTCATTTTAGCGCCGATTGATTTTATGTGTGAACATTCCCAACAGTTTTCCCTGATTATTTAACGCAACAATCAAATTTATTTTCTTGATTTTAATGTTTATTACTATGAATGACGATATAATATATTTTAATTGTAACCCCTTGTGATAACCATTTGTTCATTTTTTTAATAAATCAACACAACCTTTTTAATGGAAAAACGATATTAAGTTTTATTAACTATTAAATTAAAAAACCATTTTAATGTTTTTAAATTTTAAAGTAAGAAAAATGTGTAAACAAAATATGACATAATATTGTATTATTAAATTATAATATTGAAATATTAAATTAAAAAACCATTTTAATGTTTTTAAATTTTAAAGTAAAAAAATGTGTAAACAAAATATGACATAATATTGAATAATAAATTTGTTAAATGTGGTATACAATAACAAAGCAACAAAACATCGGACAAAGTTTTAATGGTTTTGTAGAGTAAATAATTTAATTAAACATGTCTTATTTTTAATTCCATGCTACGTTTTGAAGTTAACTTGAAGTCTTTAAAACGCATTTCTAAAATGAAGACTATGAATGAAGAGGGAAGCGGACAAAAATAAAATAATGTTTGTAAATCACAGAATGTTTGGAACCACGTTGTTAGATGTTTAAAGTCTACAAAATTCAAAACGCGCTTTTTTACTGTTCATTTTGATGTTTAAACCAATGGTGTCAGATTGTTTTTAGATGGATGTTGCGTGTAAAGATAGTTCGTGGCATGGTAAGAGTTGGTTCTTTCCTAACTTTGATGGCTTTTATATTTATAAATATAATTGTTGAATAACTAGCACAAAAGTGTGCAGTTTAATTTTCATTGTCAAAGTTTCATGGCTTCCATGACAATGTCCATGCCACGTTTTTGAAAAAGTAACATGCAACATCCATTACTTGATAATGTTATAAGTTTTCCGGCCCTTGAGTGTGCATTACATTTTAGCTTTACAGGACAAGACATGCTTCGCCTAACATTAAATCGTTTCATTAATTAAATCAAACTGCATTATTTAGAAATATAAAATAGGATTATTTGCAATATAGAAAAGTGCTACCGTATTACTTAGATAGCATGCTGAAAAGTTGACCATAAATGTGATCCTTAAGTAAGACTGTATAAAAAATGTAATTAAAAATAATTTTGAGGATCAAAATTTGACGGACACACGATATGAAACAAAAATTTCATTACGAGAAGCACTTAACTATCTTAAAACGGAGGCACGAATTTTGAAATAAAAGTTAGCGATCAATAGTAGATATATTCTGCTTTGAAACATTCTGTAAATGATGCTATTTATTTCATAAACAAGCTTAAATTATAATTTCATTGAAAGCAAACGGTTCATCCATCTACTGTCGCTTAAATATCAAAATTTACAGAAATAAAAAGTTACAGTTTAATAATGAAATTTTAACTTTGATCTAACATGATGTTTATGTGTTGGCTTTTAAGTCTAAAAGAAGATCTAGTAAAGCCTAAAATTTAAATATTATGTTTGAAAAAATTTCTATAAAAAATGTTTGGTGGGTATAAGCTGATTAGCTCGTTGATATGTAAAAAAGTAGAATCATTGGCTCAAGCAGATAAAAAAAATTGAATGATAATTTAAAAAATTGTTAATCATCAATCACTTGATTTCCATTTATTGCGACCATGAACAATTTTTTCAACTTCTGACAGGAAGTAATGTTTTCAGCAAAAACAGCTAGTTGGCAAATTGAAACATTACTTTTTTGAATAAATGAATAAATTATTACTTCTCCATTTTTGACACCTTCTGCATTGTCAATAATTTCAATAAGAGTTGTATTGTAGAATTTAACGTCGGTGAAGAACATGCCGGCACTCCATCCTTTCTTCTGCAATTCAATGGCTGATAACAGCAGTGGTGTCGAGCCGACGATGCGTGGGTTAATATCGATAACATATTGCTTAGCTGTCTCATCCACCAACACATCGATGCCAACTATTCCAAAATAACTTTTTTCGTGAAGAGCTTTTAAAACGGGCTTGATTGTTTCGTGAGTCAATTTTTCGTGTGCTACCTGTTTATCCATTTCCACAAAAGCACCGACCCAAATTTCATGGTTTAGGATTTTTTCGGTGACTCCAATCCACCTCCATTGACCATTTTTAAAGAGATAAACATGACAACAGAAGTTTGCCACAACGTTTTCGACATATTTAGTTACAGTTAAATCGGCGTTTGGCATAGTTTCTTGAATATTTTTATTCCAATAATCAAATTGGCTGCGGTCCTGAAGAACCCAGGTCCCATGACCTCCAGATGATCTACAAACCTTCAAGACGCAAGGAAATTCAAGTTCAGATAAGGTATCTGCTTGTCTACACGGAATTTCTTCGATGAATTTTTTTGAATGAACGTGGTAGTGAGCATCCGGATTGACTGAGTGCAATTTAGATGACAAAACTTCTAACGGAAACAAGCAAACGTGGGTCACCTTTTCACCAAGCTGACCGTACCTTAATGTTTCGTTTGAAAGTTTCTTTCTCCAATGTTCTACTAGCAGCTCACTTGGCTTCTGGTCAACGTAGACTCTAGCTTTGTTGCCCATAACCGCTAAATTACGATGAGGTTTTTCTATTCTATTCGACTCGTAGTCATGTTCCCTGTAATGATCATCTAGCGTGTATTTACTTTTGTTTACGATGTATTCGCTTTTTTCAAAATGTTCAGGATAACTGGACGGATATTCGAGAATAAATATTGAATTATCAGCAATGTCATGTTTGTATAATTCAGATATTGTCAACATTTTGCGATCTAATTTATTAATGTTGATAACTATGAGTTAACAAAACTAACAATTTATCATTAAAAATTAAAAAAACTGCAAGGTTTTGAAGACAAGCGTACAATGACATTATATTGAACGGTCAGTTCAGTATCGACAAACGAAACAGCCTGAGAACCATGGATCTCCGTAGTTATAAAAGCCTGCTTTGCGTGCATGCGTGCATTGTTTCGACGGGCACCGTACAGACTACGTACGTATGTATGCGGCGTAGCATATGCATGTTTGCTTGCATCATCTTGTGCGATATTAAACGGAAACACAAGTCATAGTAAACAAAAAGCAAACAAATAGCTTTTAAGATAAAGACGTGATTTATTTCCGAATGTCTGTTTGTAACTACCGCAACAAGCCGTTGACAAAATTATCTACAAATATGTTGTTAAAAGCGTCATATTTTACGCATGTTATCAAGGTTGGTTGTAAAAAAAAATGCTTAAAAAACAGGCGGAAAAATGTACAATTGGAAATTAATCTTAATCAGCTACACACGCCACTTGAAAAAATAATTAAAACAAGTTTCCAGGTGCTTTTCAAAGAAATTGATGAAACTCAGGTGTTTAATTAACTAAATAATTATTAAGAGGCAGGCTAGAGTACCATTTGTCTATCTAATTTCTTTTACCCACGTGATCGCTTCAATGGCGAACTTTTAATACAATTATTTATAATTAATATGCAAACCTTAAAGACCAAAATAAAGTTCCAACCATATTAAAAGTTATTGCAACAGTTTTTAACATTCACAGAAATAAATTACAATCCGCGTATTATATTACATAACGCATCAAATATAAAACAAAATGTTTCCAATACTAACTCTAACAAAATATAATGTCAGCATTTTAATGTAAAGAGAAAGCCTATCAGACATTTTAAGCGGAGCAGGGTTTCTGGTAAATTTTCATTCGACTCCAACGTTTTAACTAGAAACTATTCGATCTCGATAGATTAAATTATTTCTACCGGTCACCTGTTTACACATTTACAACAGCAAATCACTGACAAATGTACTTATGAACAACATGAACAGTCTTTATATTGATACTACGCAATTTAAATTTAATATAACAGTTATAATTTTTGGATGAATTAATTTCTTTTGATAATGTATTCAAATCGTTGGCCAAGAAAATTTTTTTGGAAATTTGAAGATTCTTGGTTTAAGGCTTTTGTTGATCATTTCATTCCAAATTCTTGGCCCAGAGCAAATGACAGGAAGTGAAATATATTTGTTTTAATTTGCTGAAAAAGATTAAATATGTATTCATATTTTCATTGAGTGATTTACTTACAATAATTGCAATAAGGCTTTCGATTGGGATTCTTTAAAACATTGAAACGTCACGGTTAAACGCCTTTTAAAGATATAGGTCGATTACATGTTCTATGACATTAGCCGATGATAGGATGGTTGGAACAAAAACTTTAGATTGTGCTTCATTGATTAGCTGTGAAGATGATAATGTTGGATGTTACATATATGTACGTACAAATAAAATAAAATAAATCTGAATTAAAATGATTTTTTATTATTTCTGGTTCAGTTTTTTTAAAACATTCATTTAAATAAGTTTTTGCTGTGTTGTCGTAGAGTAGTCATTAGTACTATTGTCCCCTGACATTTGTTTATACGGATGCCTCTGACGCCATGCACAGGGCACAGGGCATTACATTAATGATTTAATAATTATTACTGTTTAATTTAGGCTGACGAATTGAAAGCAATTCTGATTCTTTGATAAATATTTTACTTTCATGCGTGTCCTGAATTTTAAAAATATTCAACACTTTTACAAACTCAACTTCGTCAAAATCTCAAAGTTATTAAATATAAAGAACAACAGCTTATTAACCATTTTTCAAAGAGTGTAACGAAATTGTGAAGGTACAAAGTTTTTTTACGTTTGCTGCAACGTATGAACCAATAAGCTCGACTAATGTGCACCAAAATATCAAATAATATACAGAACACGTGGTTTCCGTGCATGAAAAAATGTATTTATAACAATGCATTCAAGAAACGTGATTACGATTGGACATATGCTGACATTAGAACACAGTATGCAAAGTACTTGCACGGCTGTTGATGTGTTGTTTCACGTGCATTTACATACATTCCGAGATAACTGAAGTTGTTGACTTGTTTCACTTGTTTACCATTAATGATTATGGAGCAGATCGGAGTAATTTAGTTATTCTATCTAGTTCCGTTCTCCTGCTTCCTATATCAGAAGAATGCGTATAGGCTCGGTTTAAAAATGCAGAGATTGTGCTCTCTAAATATATTTGACACCATTCACTATATCCAATGAGGCATAAACCTTTGTTTGTTGCTTTGTTGTATACTGAGTTTTTAAGTTTATTTTGCATATTTTGTATTAAAAATGATGATGAAAAATAATTGCATTAGTAAACTAGAATTGATAATGGATTATAGCCATCTGATATATTTGTTCAAATATAATATTGGTGAGTGTGGGCACCACAATTCCGAATATGCTGGTATGACGACAACCAAGTTATTGAGAAGACTCATGATGCACGTACAAACTGGCGCTATAAAGAATCACATGAAGGAGAAACACAAAACTAAGGTTACTAGACAAATTTTGGACCACAATGTTAAAATCTTACATTACAATAACAACCATTATAATTTTCAAATAGCCGATTCAATACTCATAGAACAAAGACATCCAATAATAAATATTCGACAACGGGCAATTGGTATCCTTTCTACTAATAAATTTAGAAACAGAAAAATCATCGATAATGAAAACACGCAAAAGTATTATATTGGACAAAGTTGAAGATCGTAAAATTAATTAAATGAGCGTTACGTATTCACTTTGAACAAACCAGAAATTAACAAAGTAGAGTAGAGATATATGATATAGATATATATATATATAGAGATGTATGATATATATATATATATATATATATTATATATATATATATACAATTATTTATAAGATCACTGCGTTTTTGGCATTATTCAAATTGTAGTTGAGTTTCTCAATTTTTCTAACGAGAATTTATCGTCTTGATGAAGTTTATTAAGGTTAAATCTAAAACTTTTAATATTTGACATTTTTGACAAAACATTATTAATAACGTAATTACTACAAAAAAGCTCTTTTCGGCATCAACTGCCATCATCAGTGTAGATATAGTATTGTTCCGTCTTTGTGTCCGTATATATCTATACATATATATATATATATATATATATATATATATATATATATATATATAATATGTATAAAAATCTTAATGCATATCTTTTGGAATTTGGTATTTTTTCCTTTTTTTATTATTTGTTTGACATTCTATTAATATGTGTAAGATTGTTGGTTTTGTATTACATTTTTCACAAAATGGAGATCTTGTTTTGTTTAATATCCATGAATGGGTTATTTTAGAATGGCCGATTTTAAATCTATTCATCATGTTTAGGTTATATTGACTATTTATTTTGACCATGTTTTGATTTTGATATTTTTGGATTTATTTAATTCGGGCATAAATACTTTAAAAAATTGTTATCTTGTTCCGTTTTTTTTGCCATTTTTCATATACAAGGTAGTTTGTCATCACTCTTACGTCGTGATATAATATTGGAATGACCATAATATTTCAGAACTTTATTTGTGTTAAACAAAATAATAAACCGTAGTGTTTTTTAAGACAAATTTGGATAGCATATTTATAAAATATAAATAAGTTCTAAAATTATTTAACGTTAATTAGTATATATGAAAAAACAAAAATATATATATACATAAAAATATACATTATAATAAAAAAAAAAAGAAAAACATATACTACAAAAAAAATGTTCAAATCCTAACAATTGAATAAAACTTATGTAGTCAAAGTTTCTAAAATTATTACAGAACTCATTTAAGTTACATGTAACGATCGTAACGATAATAAAAAAACTTTCTATACATGTTTTTATATGTATATGTAAACGACATCGATTTTTTGTCTTTGATAAACATAGTAAACTGTTCTTTGTTTACTGTTTCATGCTCGTAAATCTAAATTGTTGAGTATCTTTTTTTCACAATATTGTAATGTCCGTCGTTATTTGCTACTGAACTGTAATTTAAGTAATTTAATTTTTGAATCAAAATGAACGGGGATGTCGAAAAAAACGGTAATATACATTTTGATGTTTTTGAGCGATATTATGTTGACTAAATATTTTTGCCTGTGGTCAGTTGTCACGGTTGTGAGGCTGTCCGTTGTAGTTGTTTGGTTGATTAAAACTAAAAAAAGCGAATGGAGTCGACTTAGGATTTTTATCTAAGAATTACATGTTCAATTAATAAATGTCAAGTAAAGTAGTAAAGTAACTTGTCAAACAATAGTTAGTTGCTCGAAAAAAAATGCATGAAAAAAAAATTTTTCAACTTTATGTTTTTATATTTTCATAATCTACAACTCATTAGCAATCAATCTTCGTTTTGTATCTAGAGTCCCGGTTCCCCGAGGTAGGATGTTGTTTCTTTGTCATCAACTTTTTGCGCCAAATTAGACGATCAGTTGTATCCATTTCATTTAAATTTAATCAATCAATTAGCTTATAAAGCACTATTTCCATGCTCCTCAATGAATTTTGAAAACAGATGGGTCTTGAGATCCGCTCTGAACTTCGCAAGTGATGGAGAAGTAGTCAGAGAAGTAGGTAGAGAGTTCCAGAGAAAAGGACTAGAAAAAGCAAAAGCAGATTTGGCAAAAGAGTGTTTAACACGAGTTAAGAAAAAGCGAGAAGAAGACGATCGTAAACCGGGCGTTTAGGTTCAATTAATATATCTGATAAATACTTAGGAAATAATTTAGATTGAGACTTATACATGAACGTGCAAATTTTAAAAATTATTCTATATTTTATAGGTAGCCAGTGCAAGAGAATTTAGACCTTTCATGTCTTGGAACTCATATCTTTGAACGAGAACCTAAGTAATTTGTTAATGGACTAGATAATGACTTAGTGATGTGATCGATAAACAAAAACTAGATTGTGTGATTGAGTGCTAATATGTTTGAGGTGTCTCGTGATGAAGGTCTTTTCCTGATATGTTGTTGGACCCTCGACTTGATAGTTATGCTTGAATATTTGAGTGACGGTAGGATATGATGCAGGTAGATAGTTGAGGTGAATTAGTTTTGTGAAGAGAGATTGAAGTTGTTGTTGTGTAGCAAAGCATGACCAGGATGGAGCTGCATATTCAATGTGTGAGATGATGAATGATTCATTGATGTTGAATAATTTGATGCCTCTGAGACCACGTGAGTTTTGACTGTGTGAAATGTTTGAAAGCCTTTTGTGATGATGTAATTGATATGAGGTGCTATATTAAGTGTGGAGGTGAATGTGATGCCTAATATTTTTAATGGATGGGTGTTCGGAGGTAATGTTATTTTCTTATGGCTATTGTGAATGATGAGTTCGAATGATTTATTGAGATTAAGTGACAGATTGCATCGTTTTGACCATGTAGTTAATGAGTCGAGTTCTGATTGGATGGTGTTTGAGTTAGATGAAGGAATGATAAGGTAGGTGTCGTTAGCGTATTTGATGATGTGATTAGAGCTATGAAAAGTTTTAAGAGTAGAAGCATTGATGATAAAGGTAGATGGTCCAAGGACAGAACCTTGAACTACGCTAGAGTTAATAGGTAGAGTAGAGGAAAGAGTAAAGATATAAAAAAGTAGAATGACTCCTATTAGAAAGAAAATTTTTTATAATATTGTAAATATTGTCAGGTAGAGGAAGAGAGGCTATCTTATTTGAAAGTGAAAAGTGATTGAGATAGATGGATGATTGAAACATGGATAGATGCATGACCTAATAATTCCATGCTTTAGCTAGCTATAAAAATTAAGAAAAGTTTCAGGGTTTATTATTAAATTATTATTTAATTAACAAATTTAATTGAATTTTAAGATAAAGTTTAATTTTTAAAAGTGTCTAATTTAATTTTAATAATTATGAAATGAATTCAAAAGAGATAAAAAATAGTATTTTGTATTTTTACCTAAAGCTAACAATTTGTCCCAACTGAAAGAAGATGCTTTGTTTTGCCAGATTAATGGCCTGGATGATTAATTTATTTGCTTGACACATTTTTGCCTAAATATTATTTGATTCATTCCACAAATATTAGACCTTTGTGGCACTTTATTTTAATTCCTTGTAATTTTTACAAGTACAGAGCAGCTCTGCATTTTAACAGAACTGCATTGTAAATAAATAAACCTGCTACTGTGATTTTTCTTGTCATATTGTTGGAAAAGCTCATTTTTAAACTGAACTTCAGAGTTTCTATAAATTTGTATTGTTTATTTATAGATGGGTCATTCTCCGTCAACTTGAACGATTTAAAAAAAAGTCCACGCCCGACCATCTCCGATTTTTTTAAAATTTGAACAGTAAGTACCTCAATGTATTTCATCGACAAAATAAAATTTTTATAAAAAAATTTCAATTATTTTTCAAGTTATGAAGATTTTTGTGACAGCATCCTCAAATTTTTGAGCGATTTTTTTCAAAACTTGTACCTACGTAGAACGCTATATCTCTTGAACTAGCCAACATATCTTGATGAAATTTTTTGTGCATATCAGTGAAACAATGTAATAACAAAAAAAATAAATGTTATTGTCTCGAATCAAAGGATATTTTGAACAAAAAATCTAGAAAAAAATGAATTTTTTGAAAATTTCACCGATTTCAAAACAGCGTAGCTCAAAATCCATCGCAAAATAAATAAATATTTTTTGTTATTTTAGAAGTACCTTATAGTCATAAATAAATCACAAAATTTCGTTAAAATCTGTATTGAATTTTTTGAGCTATCGGAGCTCAAAATGTCAAAAAAATGAAAAACTTTTTTTTGTTTGGCGCCATTTTTAACTATGAAGAACCAAACGTTTTTTAATTTTTAAAATTTGTTTATATAGTGCTTTTATAGCTAAACAACATATCAAAAAATAAAATTGGCGTTTGCTTTCTTTGAAAAATAAAACAACTTCAAAAACAGGCAAAACAAATTTTTTTCAAGTGTCAATTTTTTTTTTTTTTCAATTTAAAATTATTATACAACGTGCTAATGTGTTTAAAAACAGTTTCAGGAGGAGTTATGTGAATTTTTCCAACATAAGAAATGTTATCATCAGGTATAAGAATCAAAATATGTTTAAATGGTACATAGCAAATATCTACATTTTTAGGCCAATAAAAAATATTTTCTTTAAATTTCTTCAGACAGTTAACTTTTAAATCATCATTTTTATCATCTCTTTCTATAATGTTTCCTAAATACCATTTCTTATCATAGACCAAAGCTACAAATCGACCCGGCTCATAATCATCATTGGTGTCTTCACTTTCATTTTTATTAAAATTGTATCCAAATAAATCTGAAGACAAACGTTTCATCAAAAGTTGATCATTTTTGTCTGGAATAAATGAGTGATGACTTCGACAACCCTTTATTTTATCTGCTGACTTAAATCTTTTTTCAAGCATTCCTAGCAGATCTTTAATTTCTTTTTTGTCTACCCAAAAAAATTTAATACCATTTATTTTCGCATCAGCGTATGTGTAAAAATCTCTGGCGTTCAATATCTGATCTTTTATTGATGCCTGCAAACTTGCTCTTGCAACCAATCTTTTTGTTGTCCCTCCAATTCCATCGCAAGGACTTTTACCATGAGAAGTTGCAAAAAAGTGCCATTCTGCTTTTAATCCAAAATCCTCTTTGTGATGAATTAAATTAGAAAAATTTTTGTATTGACTTACCGCACCATCAGAAAAATATTTAATTAAAGTAACGTTTTTCAGGTTTTGTTTTACATAGTTAATTAAATGTTTTTGAAAAGCATAAACAGCGGAAACATTGTGATCGAGACAGTCGCTAATCATGCAAACGCTTTTGACAGATAAGTTTTCATCGTCTCTGTAATAAAGAACAATTGGGTGAAGAGTAACTTGCGTGTTGCTCCAATGTTGACTCTGGATTGCACCCTGTATTATCACCGAATAATTTTCAGCAAAATCCATTAAAGCAATACACTCCAAATTTTTTAAATTTTTTTAGAATCGCTAAGATATTTCAATTGTTCTTTGCTTATGTAATGATGCGATGACAACTCGTCAAGTTTTTGCGAAAATCTTTCAATGAAACTGTCAACTGTATCCTGTACGGAAATCAATGAACTGCGATTATCATCATGGGAAATTACAGCTTCTTCGAAAATCGCTCTTAAGTTATTTTCGACACTCAGTTTTCCTGGGCATTCCTCACATCTGTGTAACATACATTCTAAATTTTAAATTTTAAATTGAAAAAAATAAAAAATATTGACACTTGAAAAAAATTTGTTTTGCCTGTTTTTGAAGTTGTTTTATTTTTCAAAGAAAGCAAACGCCAATTTTATTTTTTGATATGTTGTTTAACTATAAAAGCACTATATAAACAAATTTTAAAAATTAAAAAACGTTTGGTTCTTCATAGTTAAAAATGGCGCCAAACAAAAGAAGTTTTTCATTTTTTTGACATTTTGAGCTCCGATAGCTCAAAAAATTCAATACAGATTTTAACGAAATTTTGTGATTTATTTATGACTATAAGGTACTTCTAAAATAACAAAAAATATTTATTTATTTTGCGATGGATTTTGAGCTACGCTGTTTTGAAATCGGTGAAATTTTCAAAAAATTCATTTTTTTCTAGATTTTTTGTTCAAAATATCCTTTGATTTGAGACAATAACATTTATTTTTTTTGTTATTACATTGTTTCACTGAAATGCACAAAAAAATTCATCAAGATATGTTGGCTAGTTCAAGAGATATAGCGTTCTATGTAGGTACAAGTTTTGAAAAAAATCGCTCAAAAATTTGAGGATGCTGTCACAAAAATCTTCATAACTTGAAAAATAATTGAAATTTTTTTATAAAAATTTTATTTTGTCGATGAAATACATTGAGGTACTTACTGTTCAAATTTTAAAAAAATCGGAGATGGTCGGGCGTGGACCATGGTTCAAGTTGACAGAGAATGACCCAGATTCATTAGTCATTATTAATAAACTCTGAAAAATTGTTTAATATTATTTAGCTAGTTGAAATTTTTGATTTTTGAAATCTTTAGCTAACATAATTCACTAGTATCAGTAATAGTGTAATACTTAATAGTCTGATAACTGATGTTATGTAATAATTTTTATAGAACCAGATTAACTATTTCAAGTATGTAACCTATTATGGATTACAATTAAATATTTTTTTGTAAAAAAGTTAGAAATTACTGAATTTGCTTGCAGATTATGATGGACATGCAACAATGAATGATGATAACAGGCAGAATGATATTGCAGCCCAACCACAGCAAGACCGAGATCACGATAATGTAAAAATTAGTTATGATGACAACCTAAAGTATATGGAAGATTGTGAAAGCCTCAATTATACAAATAATAGTGAAGACAAGTATGAGAGTAATGCAAAAGTTTCTGGAAAGGAATCATACAAAAATAGAGAAGATGGTCGGGATAAATATAGCAGCAAAGGTGATAACGATGTGGAGAGAAATAAAGATAGGAGTAGGGATAATTACTACAAAGAAAGAGACAGAGAAAAGGACAGGGAAAGAGAGAAAGATAGAGAGAGAGAGAAGGATAGGGATCGGATCAAGGATAAAGAGAGAGATAAAGATGAGATGAAAAATGATAAAGATAAAGATAGCCGAAAAGATAGAGATAAAGATCGTGAAAGATACAGAGATAAAGATGGAGATAGAAATAGAGAAAGAGATAAAGATCGTGATAAAGATAAAGATAGAGATAGAGAAAAAGAAAGAGATAAGGATCGAGATAGAGAAAAGGAAAGAGATAAAGATAGAGATAGAGAAAAGGAAAGAGATAAAGATAGAGATAGAGAAAAGGAAAGAAATAAGGATCGAGAAAAGGACAGAGATAAGGATCGAGAAAAGGACAGAGATAAGGATCGAGAAAAGGACAGAGATAGAGATCGTGAAAAAGAAAGGGATAAAGAAAAAGATCGTGAAAAGGAGAAAGATAGGGAAAGAGATCGTGAAAAGGATAGAGATAAAGATAGAGATCGTGACAAAGACAGAGATCGTGAAAAAGATAAAGAGAGAGATAGGACTAAAGAGAGAGATCGTGATAGAGAGAGAGATAAAGACAAAGATAAAAGACATAGTAGAAAAAGAAGTCGAAGCAAGAGCAGGGATAGAAGATCTAGAAGTAAACGAAGAAGATCAAGATCGAAAGATAAAAGGTTTGTTTCTTTTTGTAATTTTTTTTGGTATGTTTGTTTAATATTTTTGTGTTTATGCAGCCATTCTCCTGTTAAATCTGTAAAACGAGTTAAAAAGCCATACAAGTTTTGGGATATACCTCCTGTCGGTTATGAACATATAACTCCGAATGAGTACAAAGCACTGCAAGGTTTTATATACCAATGAACTTTTTATTTTCCCATTAATTCTTTTATGATTTTCAGTTAGTATTTTCGCAAAATGTACATATTTCTAAACGCTTTAAATTTTTTTTACTATAAAATGATAATCAGACAACTTCTAAAAATGTTTATTATAAAGTACATAATCTTTGTAGCTACTGGTCAGCTACCAGCCACCCCTGTGACAATTCCAATAAACATAGCAGCTAATGCCCAGGGTAGTACATTGAGTCGACAAGCAAGAAGACTTTATATTGGAAATATACCATTTGGCATAACTGAGGTGTGTGTTGCTTTGATGTTGCTCAATTTATTGTTTTGGACAAACTTTTACAATGACATTACAACAACAACAACAACACACGTTTAGACGGCATTTTCCCCGAGATCGGGGGTTGCCGTTTGGCTACCTATGATGAAACCGAAATACCCCTCGACTCCATCCACATCTGTCACTCGCCTCAGTATCACGCAACCCCGCTTTCACCCTGTCCTTCTCCACCTGCTCTCTCCATCCCAACCGCGGACGACCCCTTCCTACCACTCCTTCAACCTCGAACTCCAACGCTCGCCTAATCCCGACCCTTTCATCCCTTCTCAACACATGTCCATACCACCGCAATCTCGATCTCCTTATCAATGTCACAATGTCCTCATTCAGTCCCATCATTGACATCAGCTCTGTACTACTCCTCCTATCCTTCACTTTAACCCCACACATCATCCTCACCATAGCTCTTTCAGCCCTCTGCAGTACACTTTCCTCCTCTCTCCTCAACACCCAAGTTTCACCACCATATATCATCGCTGCTCTCACACATGCTTTATATACCCTCCCTTTCATCTTCACTGACCATTTCTTTCCACACAATACCCCACCCAGTTCCCTAAATTTCATCCATCCCACACGAACTCTAGCCGTAACTGCGCTCAAACATCCTCCATCCGCATTCAGCTTATCCCCTAAGTAAACAAAGCTTTCCACTCTTTCAATACCATCACTCAACCCCGTCCTTGCGTCCGTCCTATTAATCACACCATGAACACATTTCTTACATTTGAACGTGCCTTCCACCTTTTTCAGTGCCCCCCTCACACCACTACATCTCTTATGCACCCATTTCTGACATCCTATACACAATACCGAGTTAGCCTTCACTCTCCTATCACATACCCCACAGGGGTCTATTTTTGACAATGACATTAGTATATGAAAAAAAATTTTAAGTATTTAAAATTTAAAAAATATTTTGTGTTATAATTGAAACTATTACTAATTTTTGAGTTAAATAGATGCATAAGACACATTTATTTGAAGACCTATAATACATATATACAGTGCTTATTTCTTATCAAGGGATATTTATATTATCAATTGTACTTACATGCTTATCTAGACTGATCATTCTGTACTATTTAAAGACAATAATTTCACGAGCTTTGCTCAAAAGCTGTGGACAAAGAGTAAAGAAATGATAATGACTTGAAATATAAATAACGTTTATTGTTAAGGATGTGATGTCTGAGTACTTCAATGAGCAGATGAGGATGGCTGGAGTGCTGAACAATGATGAGAGTGCTGTGATTGCATGTCAAGTTAATCTTGACAAAAACTTTGCTTTTTTGGAGGTTAGTTAACATTTGCTTCTCAAGTTTCAACATATTTAATTTAATTTGCTTCCAAATTTCTTAATTTTATTGTTGCATGAATTTTATAAGTTGATTGATTTAAACAAACAGTTCAGGACGGCTGAAGATTGCACGCATGCTTTGTCATTTGATGGTATCAATTGTCAAGGACAAGCTTTGAAGATTAGGAGACCGAGAGATTATCAGGCTATGTTAGGACTGGCTGAAGCTGCAGCCAATGCCGCCAAGCCTACAGTTCCTGGCCTGGCTGCTCCTGTTAGCTCATCTACAACGACTTCCACATCTTCAACAGTTTCTGCACTTGCGGCCATAGCAGCAGCAACTTCAACTACAGTTACTACAGTTCCAGTTATTGCTCCTCCAGGTTTATTTATTTACTTTTGTTCATTATTAATGTTTAAGATTTTGCTTGTGCATAAACATTTATTTAGCAATATCTCCTAAGTAAAAACTTATTTTGTGGTATTTATTATTTAATTTGATTGATTGAAGGAATTGTCTCAACACTCGTGAATGATACACCCTACAAAATATTTGTCGGAGGTATTCCAAGTTATTTAAATGAAGATCAGGTATAAATAATTTTTTTTGTACCTATTTGATTTTTTACTATAAGCTAGCCTTATTGTAAGATCACTAACGCATTTTAACAAGTTGCCATGTGAATGTTATGATTATTTTGAAAATATAACGAAACATTAAATAAAGTGTTTTTTCGATATACAAATTTTTTTTTAAAACTACATATCTCTAAAACTTCCAACATTCTACTTTTTATATAAATTTTAAAGGTTAAAGAACTTTTAAGTTCATTTGGACCATTGAAATCGTTTAACTTAGTCAAAGATCCTGTGACAATGTTGTCGAAAGGTTTTGCGTTTGCAGAATATTCAGATTATACTGTAACTGATCAGGTTATTTGTTTGTTTTATTATATTGCCTTTTGTTACATTGAATAAGTTTTCTATCACTAAATTTGGATATGAGTTTACCAATAATTTGAATGTTTATTGTTAATGATTTTCAGGCATGTGCAGGTCTCAATGGAATGCAGCTGGGAGATAAGAAGCTGATTGTTCAAAGAGCCAGCATTGGTTCACGTAATCCCAATGTTAGTAGAGCTTTGTTCAGTTTTGTTTGCCATTCGTGATAGTAACTGATATATAAATGATGTTTTGGCAACCCTTTAAGTTAGTTCAAAAGTTTCAGATATTCTGAGCTTGTTGTTTTAAAAAAATTTACGACTGGTTAAAATGAGCCAATAATACAAATGAAAGTGCGGATATTAAATTTAAAAATTATTCAAAAGAAACCTAGCTCATTTTCAAACAGTGTAATTCTGAAAAATTGATGATAATTTTTAAAACATTAGACTTAAAAAATGATGTAGTCTTGCAGTGCAGACTTACAGGTGTCAAATAGGCAGTCGGATGTTTTTTGTGGTGCCTTTCACTTTTTCTATTTAATTTTTCCCATCTTGGAAGAGCTTTTTTATTCTTAATTGCTTGCTTTTATTATTTTTTTTATACTTTTAACGTGTATTATCAGCTCCAAGATAAAAAGTCATTAATTCAAGTTGTTAGTTTATGCCAGGAACACTTGGCAAGTTTGAGTCATCTGATCTCCAACAAAAGCATTGAGAGTCATCCCTTATTACTCAAATATCTCATAGCTAATTCGCACTCAAACAGCAGTTTTAAAATATTTTATTGTTTAGAGACGACTTATTTAAGTCGTACAAAAATGGTTTAACATGATCTAATGTTTGTTTTTCAGTAACAATTTTAGCAACCTGGTTTTAAATTGACTGTAAATCACGTTTTGATTAAACTTTGTAGTATATCTTTATTCAATTTTTTTGTTAACAATTCTAAAACAATGCAGCTGATTTGTGGATTTAGAATAAATTGTGGTCAGAATACACCCTTCTGCAACTAACAATCGAATCTGTGGTTCTACCCAGAACATGCGTTTGTTCATTAACAGAGCTTAAAAAGCAAGCGACTTAAAAACCTTCATTAGAGTCTTTGTGTGAGGGTCATTATTGTGACCGGTCAACAGCAAAATGCTTCATAAAACTGAAACAAGCTTTTTAGCACCATTACTATTTTGGAAAAAGTTTATTTCACGTTTATTTAAAACATTGGATAGCTAAAGCCTCAAATGACAAATCGTATCTAACGTATTTCATATTGGATTTATTAAAAAAACAACTAGAATTTCATGCAAAGGATGATCGAGTTACAAGAAATCAAATAAATTAAATTCGCCTGGTACAACCAACCGAATACTAATAAACCTATCAATTTCTTACAAAACAATGGCTACTTGTCTGAAATTGCGGGCGAGTGATCGCCAAATTCATTATGATTTTTTTGGAGTTTCAAAATAGTTTCAAAATCTGATGTTTTTTTCTTATGGCAGTTATAGGTTTATACTGTACACCACTCAATCTTAAATTTCTCAAATAAATCAAGCAGTTGCACGTACAACACGTCAATGCATCTTTGATAGTCGTTGCGGGTCTGATAATTTCAGGAGACATACTTAAACAATAGATTCATTTATTTGTTACAATGATTTTTGTTTGTTTTCCTTTTATAAATTGTAGTTGTGGTGATTTTTTTTTAAATTTATATTTTTAATATTTTAAAGATTCAATTGTTATTCTAATATATTACTTTGGATCCTTAATTATATTATGTTAGTTCCAATTGATCTAAATGTTCTCCATTGTGTATCACAGTAAACGGTGATTTGAAATTTTAAAATATTTTTGCTCAAAATTTTGTAATCAAGATTGGCTCCTCATTAATTTTAAATTAATTTTTTATAATGCTCAAATCTTATGAATCTCAACTATAATAAATTATTTATGACAATAAATAAGCAATTAGCGATAAGCAATTAGATATTTTTAAACAGATATATTCAGTAACATTATTCAAGATTTCATTTTGAATATAATTTTGATGTTGAACTATTAGCCAGCTCATATTCCTATCAACCTCCAAATACCGGGTCTGAATATCGTTGATGTAGTTGCATCGGGTCCCGGTCCCGTAACCGAAGTTTTGTGTCTCATGAACATGGTTTCACCAGAGGAATTGGAAGATGAGGAAGAATATGAAGGTTTGTTTTTGTTGAATAAAATTCTAGCAATCATTATATTATTTTTAAATTATTTGTTTTGTTGTTTTAGATATTGTTGACGACATAAAAGGCGAATGTAGCAAATATGGTAATGTTAAGAGTATTGAAATCCCAAGACCTATTAAGGGGATTGAAGTTCCTGGCGTAGGAAAAGTAAGGAAGCTTCATTTTCTTATTTAATAATATATATTTAATCGTTTGAATTTGTTTTCAATTTAGGTCTTTGTAGAGTTTTTCGCCACGGAAGACAGCCAAAAGGCCCAAGAACACTTGGCTGGCCGAAAATTTGCCCATCGCGTCGTTGTTACTTCGTATTTTGATCCAGACAAATATCATAGGCGTGAATTTTGATTATAATGTATAATATAGTAAGGTTCGAATAATATTTATGTGTACATGTACATGGTTGCTTCGCTCCTGTACTTTTGGTGAATTGCGACTAACGTGTCAACCATGGTCAATGTTTATTGTGACTGGGATGGAATTGTATATTTTGTTGTTTATTCAGATATTTTAATTTAACATCGAAATAAATTTGATTGCTCTTTCATTACCTTTATATTTTGTCTATGGACACCTGTAACTATGTCGATTTTTGATCGTCGCGGTTGGCGGATTTAATGAATTTTTTTGTTGGTTAAATTTTTAATTGCAAAAGTCGGATAAGTCATTTACTAAAATTCATTTTTAATATTAAATAAATACAATGCGATTTCTAATCCAAAAGTGGATATCGTAGTTGGTTGGTTTTTCATGCTTCCAAAGTCAAAAGGGCTTTATCCATGCACAAAAAAATAATCTAACTAGCCTTCTAACGTCTACCTGTCATTTTATCCTGTCCATTCCATTTCGTGCTTTTGATTCTTACGTTGTAAAAAAAAACTAAAAATCGAAGATTATCACCCTTGACTTGGCAAAGTTTGTATGTTTTTATTTCGTTTTTTTAAAATTATTAAGAAAGGATTACTTTTATTTTTAAGCGTTTTGATATTCTTAACCAAATATTGAAAAAAAGGTATTTCGCTTTTATTTTACTTTATTTTATTAAAATTGTTGTTAAAACGCCACCGCAAAATTTGAAGACTAACTACAACTTCTCTTAAGATTTAAAGTACCATAACAAGTAAATTTCAAATAATTAAATATGTTCATATTCAGAATCCACTTTGAATTGATTGTTAACATAACAATTAATTCTATAGTGTTTTATTTAAAATTTTAAAGTTATGAATTTGAAAATGATGTGATTGCATTAACAACTTTTATATAAATATTATAAAAGTATTGTATCTGGTACATTGCATTCATTTCATATAAAATGCATTGTATGAAAATTTTCTTTTTCCCAGTAAATATGGTCGACACTCAAAAATTTATATACTCAAAAGATGAAGTCTCAAATTCAAATCTACTTGAAGATATTCATAGAGGAATTCGCTTGAAACCTACCCAGCATCTCATGAATGACAAAAGTGGTCCATTATTAAAAAGTGTATTTAAATATTTTGTATCATTAATACTATTATTTTATATTTGAACTGAATATTTGAATATTACATAGATTAAGCATTTGAACTGCTTGAAAATCACTGTACAAATGGATTGATTAATGAATACATATAGCTTAGAAGGTTTTCATAAAACAACATTGATAAAAAATAAAAATTTGATAAGATGATGGTCCCAAGACAACTGGAATTCAGAATTTACCAAGAAAGAACTGTTCAACATCTTTTACAAGAAGTGGATTTAATGACTTTCATAATCCTGAAACAGGAAAAAATAGCGTTTTTAACAAAGGTCCATTGAATGTTTTTTATTTTGATTATTACAGTTTTTAATATGGCTTGTTTAATGTTATGAATGTGAACTGATTTTTACACACACACACACACACACACACACATATATATATATATATATTTATATATATATATATATTATAATATTGAATGGATGTGGTTAGACAGTTTCAAAAGCATTTTGCATTATTTTATCAACAATACCATGAAGTATAGAGCTAAATGTGTTTTTAAATGATAATTTCTCTCATATATATATTTAACTAAAAAATATTATTAGCCACAAATTGTGATTGCTGTATGCTATTGAATATGTTTCAGTTTGAAGGTTTTATAATGAGAATAGTTATGTTTTGTTTATTTATTTGGTTCAGGTTCTAGACAGGTCGTAACATCCAGCAAAAGAGTTCATGAAAACATATCACATGCCTTAACGAACCCAAACAAACAAAATCAGATAAAACCGCCAATTTTAGCTCCCAAACCCAAAATGGTTCTTGATTCAAATTTTGAAAATTCAGAGTTTAAAATGGATATTTCAGGGCCAGCTAATGTTATAATCAGAAAATGTTCAGTTGATTTGCCATCTTCAATACCTGAAAATTTTAGTAAAATAAAATTAAATACAAGTGCTCATTTGCCAAAATCAAATTCTACATCTGCTTTCGTTGACAAAAATTGTCAGTCACGTGATAATGATTCAAATTCCATTTTCAAAAGGAATCGTTCCATTGTTTCTTCACTACTTGAAAATAATTTAATGTTACCAAATTTATTTAACGACAGTAAAGACATCAAGCAGTCTGTTTGCATAGAACGAAGAAATTCAGAATCAGCCCCAGTTATACCCAAAAAACAGTTCAACGTTTCAAGCAGTAATTTAGAGGTTGTGAAATCAGGTTTTCAGAATCAGGAAACGAATGATTATCATAGGAAACAAATTAAAAGAATCATTTCTTCTTCACCAGGTTGCAGCGACAAGACGATTAACATGTCAGATAGATGCAATAGCGTTTTTAATTTGGAATCTTCGTGTAATTCATTAAAATCGAAAAAATCACCTGTTAATTGTTCCCACAAATCAGGCGATAACTCACTTTATAATATATCTCAAGAAACAAACTTTAAAGATTATTCTCATGGTAAAAATTAAAAAATTATTATTGTTGTACCTGTTCAAACTCACATTTTTAACAATTTCAGAATTTGAATCAAAGTATGTTTTTCACTGTGAATCAGATTTTCCCAACCCACCCTTATTTATTACGTTTAAAAAATATTACCCATCTCGACATCCATATAAAGCAGGTGATGGAAACTTGAAAGTTTTTTTGCATATTTTCTGAAATATAATTTTTATTGTGCATCGCTTTATTTTCTTCAATGAATGTGCAATTTTTATTTTGTAGGAGATTTTTTTGCAAAGTAAATGGATATAATTTTTAAAATTAACTTTCCCATTTAACATAATCTGTGAATAATCACTAATTCAAAAAATGGATGAAAATTTAATTTAACATTTTTCCATTTAAATGTTCTAACGTTTTGAATTTGATTAATATTATTAAACCTTTCAGTTTCAGGTATGGAAGATAAAATCACGCCAGCAAGCAGAGCAGTTTCTTGCAGAAAACTGGTTACAACTGTATAACTCTTTATAAAATAATTGTTAGCGTGTTTGTTTCACGACCACTTGCGTTTATGCTTATTGGTGTATTATATTTTCTCGTCTTATTAATGGGCTACATGACGTCTATACATTCATTTTATTGTAGAAATTCTGAGCACGTGATAATAGAGGAATGAATCATTAAGTGCTACTATATTATTGCCAAAGGAGTTCTTTATAAAACGTTCCTCATATGAGAAATCATGAATTTGATTGGAATATAAAGAAATGGCAAACCTTTAAAAGAAGAATGACAAGGAAAATGAAAAACGTTTCTGGCATTTAGTTCCTGTTGATAAAAGTCACTTCAACAACAAAAAGTGTTAATTTAAAAGTTGGCTGCTGTGATGGAAGTTTGTGTAATATGATGTTTGATGAAAATTTTTAAATAGTTGTTCCCTTGTACAACAGCCTATTAAAGTGATGTACCAGACTTAGAAACAAGCCTTTTACTTTATTATATGTTAGCTGAAAATTAATGATGGTAGAGTATTGAACACATTGGAAAATACAAACAGTTGGCTATGATGCCTCAAAGTTTGAAATAAATAATCATGATTAAAAATATCAATACTGGCGCGCGGTATTCAAAAATATTAATATTCACAACACTAAGATTGAAATGTTCTTCACATGGTTAGAAAGTAAAGCAACAGATGAACTAAAAGTTATGCGCATTTTTTTAGCTTTATAAGTGTGCATCGACCAAGTAATTTGGCATGCAGTGGTTGGCATCATGAAATTTTCGACTAGGATAAAATTGCCCTGTTGTATTCTCCCCATCATTCATACCATTATTGCGAGCAAGAGTGATGTTAACGTCGCATATTTGCTATGTTTTGTACCGGGAACCACTTATTGCAGATTAATATATGTTGCGGGTGTTTGTATAATAACACTAATGATTTAATGTCACGTTAAATTCAAATACAATAGTCTCTATCATTAGAATTTCATCGTATCAGTGTTGTCAACATGGTTGTCAACAAGCTGAGTGTATTCAAACTAGTTAATATCGCTTTCAGTCAAAAGGCATTTAAGCTGTTATGTCGTACGGGTCGTTTTCATAATTGCATTACGTGAACTTATCTTAGTTAACTTTTCGACGTTTGCATGACATATATATCATATTTGATATTTATTTAATAATTAATTAATTTTATCTCATTGTTTTGCTATTTCGTGTGATGTGGTCGTTATACTTATTTAAAATGATGTTGTTAGTCATTCATTTTTACAAGTCAGCAAGATGTATCAAGCATCTGGTAACAATCTTATATCTCACTTTTTTGAGTGTCAACTTTGAAGTATTTTGTTAAAGTACTTGTCATCACGCCATCACTGTTATTTTATTGCAAGAAAATTGTCATTCCTTTTTGGCGGTCTCACTAAAAATGTATAATATTAATAAACTTCATATTCTACAAATATAACTAAGTATGTACCTATACATCGAACGACTATTTAAATATTAGAGTTTGAGTTATTTTATTTTAAGCGTCTTTTTTAAAACTATTTTACTTAATTTTAAATAAATTTGTTTTGTATCAAGTTTCCATGTCGATCAAAATTTTTCATTAACCATTGCTTAAATTGGTAGTTCATGATTTATTCATTTCTTGTACCTGAACAATTTAACATCTTATCTGAATGGATGCTGATTGGGTTTGATTTGCTTATCGAAATTATCGAAATCTATTAAAAAATATGAAAAAAACCATTTATATACACCATCAACAGAATTTAGCTAAAAAAGTTTTTAAATAAAACTGGAAACAGTTGAGATCACTAGATCTTTTTTTAATCTCACTGTATGTCTATCTCCTCTACTTTTAAGTTTGAGGTACCTTGATGATTTCTCTGGCGCTTTCTATTTTTACTCTAGCTCTGAACTACCTCCTAGTAACAAAAAATTTTTTTGCTTCTATATCTACACTTTTTTTCCATCTAGCCGTACTAGTCTTCTTCTTAGTTCATCTTTATGTCTTTTTCCTATTAATGCTAGGAAATCTTCATCAACTTATAACGCGTCGTTCATTAACTTCGTTCGTCTTCATATATTCAGTTGCATCAACTTGTCAGCAATTTATCAGTTGTCAACAAATTATGCTTTACATACAGCTCTCCTTCCATATGGAATGGTTTGCCTGCCATCATTCGTCAACAACTACCCATCAAACATTTTAAGAAACGATTAAAGAAGTTTTTGTTTATCCAAACCTGTGGAAACGTCAAAAGTCATTGTTTATCCAAGCGCCACTGAAGCTATTCATAAGACGCGATACAAATTAATAATAATAATAAATTTAAACACCATTACTATTCCTTCTGTTGATATTTTACCTGATTCTGAAACTTGATTTTTCTCACAAATTTCATGGTTTAGGCTTTTTTTTATTCAAGCATGCCTCTTTCGTCTCAGATAGTGTGGTATCCATGGATATAGTGGATATGGCACAAGAATTAATTCCTGGCTAATAATTTTTTTAGTTCTATGGAATAGAAAACATCATCTGAGCGTAAACATTTCTTCATTGTAGTTGACATTTCGTTTTGCTGTTTTAAATTTATTCGCCTACACGAAGTTTTCGTTTTTTTAATATCATAATATTCAAATAAGTTGCATTTTCGTCTCTACCGACTTAGTTATCAAATAGGTTGCTAGTTGAAAATAAAATGATTTTAGATTTTGATTCCGGAAAATTTATGGCAAAATGTAAGGATGTTCATATTTATTTCAATATTCGACATTCATACATTTTGCTCAATTGTCCTGGAAATAAAACATCTTTTGGATAAATCTACTACAAATACACTTTGATATATACATTCATCCACCTGGATTAATAACAAGTGCAGTTATCTTCAATGTCATCAAATTATAATTTTTTTTAAAATCTGAACAAATGTTATAAAATAAAAGTTCAATTCAAAATTTAATGACAAATTAATCATTATGATTCAGGAAAATTTTGGCAAATAAATGGATGTTCATAATTATTTTAATATTGACATCTATACATTTTGTTCAATTTTTCTAAAATGAAACATCTTTTGGATGATGCTAGAAGCTAGAGGCTAACCTTTATATGTACATGTAGTGGTGCTAAAAATCAAGGCACAACATGTTCCAATAAATTGTTAAGTTGTTCATAGAAAAAAAAAAAATAAATGGACTAAGTGATATATGAAGACATAAATTTTAAAAAACGTAAATGGCAAAAACAAAAAAATTATTGACCCTGCATCAAATACTATTAATATAATGAACTTAGTTGAAACTGATCGACATGGAATTTAATTAAAATCAATCAACTATTTAGTATAATTAAATATTATTATATTTCATAATATAAAAATCATGTATAAAATTATTATTGCTAATTTATTATACTCAAATACTGTTGGGGTGCAGCGTAATAAAAAATAATTAACATTGAGAAAATTATTTTCAAAACATTTTACAAAAATATTTACATCTTTAATGAAATAAATGTTTGTTAAATTTGCAGATAAAAAATTTGTAAGATACATAATACATCATATTCTTTTGAAAATATTTAGATTTAAATTTATCAATATCTAAATGGTCCTAAAAATAAAAATAACAACTTAAATTTATCTGAAAGCATTGAAACTTTTGCATAATAGCTGAAAAATTATAAATTAATAAATGCCCATACCTATCTATGTTTTTAAAAAAGGGGTTAAATAAAAAGAAATTAAGATTAAAAAATGACAAGGAATGCTGGAAATTGTTTAATGTTGGTGTGAGGAATGTTCAATTAATAGAAGTTGACTAGATGTACCAATATAATAATATGACTCTCAGTAAAATCATTTTAAAATTAATAACAATAACAACAGATTTCAGTTAAGAAATATTTAAATGTTTAAAAATTAACAAAAAATTATTATAAAAGAGAGATTTAGAAATGCAAATAATATATCAGTTGATCCTGAATTGACATACTATCTATCATCAAAGAACAATGTGTAAATTGTTTTGCACATTGTTTTGGTGTTTTTTCTTCAGGAAATTCAACATAGAACGATTGAGGCCTGGTCCTCCATCTACAGAGATTCTAACCACCTTGATACATTTAAATACTTTAATTTTCAATTATATATATAATATTAAACAATAACTTACCGTGCTAATGTACGTTTATGTGGCAGATGTAATCCTTTACTTTTCAAAAACAGGTAGCTCTTTCCACCGTACAAATGTAATGTCTATGCAAAACGCCTTTGTTCTTCAGTATAGGTTTTGTTCGGTTTCATGAAAAGTTTTGTTGGAATATCTGAAATGCCAATTCAATTTTAAAAATTAAAAAAAGTGGCATATATAAAGATTTGTTGCTAAAAATTATTTTTAAAGTTTAATAATTAGCATACCCGAATATGAAAGTAATGTTGAGGCAAGTTCATCGTTGTATTTCTTCAACATCTTAATTTTATTTCTATATACTTAACTTTGACTC